CGGATCGTAGCAGAGAGGCCAGAAGATATTTTCAGTGTAGGTAGAGCCATGTACTAATATTTAACTGACTTATTTGATGACAAATATTGAAAAGTAAAAGTAAATTTAAACAGCCAAAGCAAAATAATAGGATCTATTGGCAATCATGTCACTGCCATATAAGGAAAATAAGCAAACGCCATCTAAGAAGGTAGGTAATACGTATGTACTTTACGTAGCAAGGTAGTTTGTATGACTCACTATAAAAATGTTTAGCGGTAGCTTTCAATAACGATCACAATAGTATTATGTAAAATAGGTGACATAAGTTAAAGAAAATTTAGTTGCTTATAATTTTTTAGTTCTTTATCATTGCTTTATAAAATAATATATATATACATCTAAATCTGTTAATGTTTGGTCATTTTCCAACGGATTTGCAAGATTATTTGCACAAATTTCTTCCCCGTACTTACTAGTTGGTGAATTCTCTGATCTATAATTTGAAAACCGCTATCACATAGGTATTACATAAAGTGATTGTTTTTATTATATGTATAGTCGTCGTAAGTGATTTCGCTGTACTACGTAGCAATATGTTTAAATTTTGCACTAAAAAGGTATGTTATATGTAAAATGAAGATATGAATTCTATTTATAACTAGCCTAACTTACCCTCACTCTGCTCGGGTTCTTCCCTAGGAACTCTCAACTTAACTTCCTTCAACTGAACTTCTTCTCAGAGATGAAATATTATCTCGCAGTAAAAAGTATCCTATATGTTGACCCGGGTAACTATCATCATACTAAATTTCATCAGTCTGTCCTGCGGTTTTCTCGTGATGCTTTCCCAGACAATCGATGACAATAAATATTTCAATATGATTTTCCAAACAATATGTAATGTACAGATTCGATCCAGTTATAATTTTATTATATGTATAAATTTTTATTATTTTTACAATAACAACAACTTGGTCACGAATTCAAAATCTGGTTTCAGTGATTTCGTTTTCCATATGCAAATATATACATACCTAAGAAGTTTTAAATACAGAGCTTATCGGCGACTGGTATTATTTTAGTGCACATAATATCTAAGCAGCTATAAGCTATTATCACATTTTTATTCTATTTCCATTGAAACTTGAAATACTTTACTTAAAAAAGGCGAAAAAGGAGTTGCTAGAGAAAGAAAGAAATGCTAAAACTACAAACTTACAAAAATAATATGTTATTCGAATTTTTTTGTGTTTTACTTTTACAATATATAAAGCGTCAATTAGTATTTGTAACTGTAACACTTAACATTTACCACAAAAATATGATTTCTGTCCTAATCTAATCTAATTCAAATCTACCTTTTCTAGTAAGATTTTTTTTTGTATATATTTTAATCCTTAAATTGAGAAAACTTGAATTTCAAAGTTGATCGACTTAAAAACACAAAGATTGAGTTTAGTATACTAAAGATTATATGACAAAAATCCACTAAGCAACAAAACCGACGCCAAATCAAAGCCTCTTAAATCACGAATAATCAGGCCCTCGCATTCCTTCCTAACTTTTTTCATATGTAACATAACGTGAACGAAATGTCAGATTTAATAATTTAAATAATTGAGACCGCACCTCACAGTGTAGGCGGGAGGAACCGCTAATATCTTTCTATTGTGATTTACTAATGCGTTATAATTGCCAAGGATGTCCAATGAAGCTATACATATATGTATATAGTTATTATATTAATATTATGAAATCAAAGAGATGGTTTGTATGTTTATTTGCGCTTATTTCTGAAACTAGCAGTTATATTCGAAAAAATATTTTCGTATTTTATGGCGAAATATATATTTATCCATATAAGTTATAGGTTTATTTAACATCAAACTACGACCTTTCGAAGTTAGTTCGAGTTTATAAATATAATTTGAGTGTCTGTTCGTAATTTCCGTTAAAATAGATATAAAATAGCCACATTAAGCTCATACACAATATGTAGCATACAAAAGCCCAAAAATAAATAATTCTGTATCCATCTTTTATTATTTATATATCTACCTAACGTCTAAACCAATTTTAAGGAACTTTACAGGTAGATAGAGGATTCAGAGCAATGACATAAGCCATTTTCACAACATGTGGCAAAATTATCTCGATTTTTTTTGCCATTTAATGGAGACATATTATTAGTATTTACTACTATAAACTTACATACTCGACAGATATCCTCAATCTGAATCTGGATTTACATATCTGTCAAACTGTCAAGTAACACAATAAAATAGATATAATCTATCCAACAATATAAAACAATCATTCTGATATTTTTCATAGAATTAACATTAATCTAATAATATGGAAATTATATAATTATGCGTAAATAAAAAAAATATACAAGACATCAATTAAGTATCACCAACAGAAAGTTAAGCTGCAAAATGTAATGACACACTTTTTAGTAAAAGCTCTTATTTTTAACTTAAAACTTTAGATTGAAAATTAGCTTATAGTAATTCTTCCACCTTTAGAGGTAGCTTCTAATTTTAATTATTTTGGGACCACCCTTGATTTGCTATAATATACTATATGACCTATTCATTAAAATATATGAAAACTAGCATTGCCCGCGGCTCCGCCCGCGTTCAGATGACCAAAAACTAAATTCTTAGGTGTTACATATTAGTATACTCTTACATTGCAGTTTTTGTATTTTTCCTCAGAAATAAGATATTTTCCCGCGGTAAAAAGTATCCTAGGATCGCGCGCTACATCGCCCGGTTTATATAGCTTGAGCAGGCGGTCGAGCGATGCGGGGCAGAGGGGATGGACTCGCCGTAGGCATCTCAATGCTCGCCAAGCATTAAAAATGTTTCGCTACTAATTACTTCTAACAACGATATCTCAAAAACTATTCATCTGATTGATTTAGTGTAAAGAGCAATTTTAATCTGCATTAAATGACTAAGCTAACTAAAATATTCATTTGGATAAGGATTAATACCGAACTAAAGAAAATAACTTTGAAAATAACGTAATGTTTTTAATTAAAAATGTTAACATAAAAGTGGTTATTGTAAGTCAACCGTAAGAGATAGAGATATGCTATCGCGGACTTTTTTGTAGCATTTTTATAGATTTTGAATTCTCTAGTACATTACTTAACTGTATCTTTGCTAGTTTACGCGGCGTTCGCGTGGAAAGTTCCCATTTGGCGAGATTTTTTGCGACCTCTTCAACATTTGTCGCCGTATTTCAGCTAATTTACATAAAAGCATAATAAATTATATACCTAAACCTTCCTCAAGAATTACTCTTTCTATTGTTGAAAACCGTATAAAAATCCGTTCAGTAGTTTTCGAGTTTATCGCGTACAGACAGACAGGAGGACAGACAGGAGGACAGACAGGAGGACAGAAAGACGCGGCCGGGGGACTTATTTTTATAATAAGTATAGATTAGTGAAGATATCCTGTAACAAACAGACCAAAAAATACCCTAATTTCATTATATCCTCCTTTTTAAAGTCGGTTTAAAAGATTTTAACAATCAATAGAGAATAATTAAGACGTCAATTAAAAAAAAACAATCAAAAACCTATAATTAGTTTATAGCATCAATAAACCATTTTTATAACGACGTTTAGTTAGTGAATCAATAAAACGCTTCTTTTATTTGTTCTCTTATTACAAAATGCAGATCATATACATATTATAACTTCTAATGCCTCGGTGGTGTAGTGGCTAGCATGTACGGCTGCACACCCGGAGGTCCTGGGTTCGAGTCCCGGGTCGGGCCAAGTTTAGTTATTGAGTCTTCCTGTATAATAAGTCTCAGTAACAGCCCGGAGTTGGGAAGTTGGCGGTGTTTCACCCCCGTGCCTCGGAGAGCACGTAAAGCAGTCGGTCCTGCGCCTTAACTCTCACCGGTCGTCTCGAGTGGTCGTCCCACCGGAGAATGAGAGTGATAGGAATAGAGAGTGCACTTGTGTCTGCGCGTACACTTGAGTACTATATCTCCTGCGCAGTTGGCTAATCTCATTGAGATTGGCCGCCGTGGCCGGAATTGGCTAGGAGAACATCATCATAACTTCTAATGATATAATCGATTTGTATACATTATACATGCTTACAAAATAGTATAAAAAATGTTTTAAAAGACAAAAAAAATCGAAAGTGCATATATATTACAAGACTTCCGCGACACCATCCAGACAAAGAGAGACAATAGCATTCCTAAGGAAGGTTGACGTCAGGCGGCCGGTCGTAAAACTTTTGCCAAATCATATCAGCAGTACAGAAGATGTACTGCGCCGACCCCAAGTGATTGGGATATGGACAGGGAGAAGAAGATACATGCTTACAAACTAGAGATTCTAAAGGAACTTTCATTGAGGCGAGAGGGACAGCTTTTTATTCTGATTTTATTTAAATACAAGACCTAATTTTGGCGCCACACGAACTAACGGAGTACTTTTATTAATGTGACATTAGTTAGTTTTTAGTTTGTATATGTGTATGTATGGATGTTTGTTACTCCGGCTGTTCGAAATTAGATGAAATTTAATACGGATAGACTTTGACCTGGAGCAATACATAGACTACCGATAGGCAGCCAGGGACGAGACCGAGCTTTAATTTTTTAGGAGTTTGCTAGTTAGTTATCACGCAATACAACCGTGCTTAGTCCTGTACTAATCCTGGAGCTCCTACAGGTTAGAAGCTCAAATTATCAGGTAAAGCTCCATCGAAAAATAAATGATACTGGGAAGCTATTCCATAAAAAAACAGTATAAGAAATTTATGTATATTTAAACATCGTATTTCTAATCAAACGTAAAATAAAAAGATTTTATTATGAAACTAACCTTTATTATAGTTATCACTATGAACCAGTCGGTTTTTTGCATATTTGGCCGAAATCGCTTAAGCGGCGCCGTATAAGCTCTAAAATGTCAACTTAAATTTATTCGATGTGGAAGCTTTTAATCAACGCTCGAATAAACATGAGTTCAGGTTTCAATGAAGGTATCTAAAATTGTTAGCTTATCAAAGTAACTAAGTCCTAAAGGTTTTTAATTCATACTAGTCACTCACTACCTGCGACTTCGCAAATTATGTATCTACATATCGCACGCTTAATCATATACTGACCGATTAGTGTTTCGGTCAAAATTTATTTAAGTATACCAAGAAGTTTATTTTAACACCATCTTTCGGCCGATCTCGGAATTTTTATGATAGCTTGTTTCTAGGCGGAGTTATACCCATATATGTCTCTTTCACACGCAAACGTTTCGGCAAATGTTTTTACGAGACAGAGACAAATATCAGTATGCGTCAAGCACTAAGATCGCGAACATCACGTGTTTTTATTTAAAAGTGTCAAATTAGTAATTAAGTCGCTTTAGTGTAAAAATCAAAGGTAAGTTTTATTGAAATTATTTATAAAAATGTGACCAATTGTTAAATATGCCTATTTAGTACAAAATAGGATCGAACTATTCATGAATTATTTAGTGTTAGTTCTGTTTTATACAAAAACATGTTAACAATTCTTTGACTGATTGTGTATTAAGCCTATATTTTATAAAAAACTTCCGTTTTGCCGGTAGTGTTTTGTCGGCTTTAGGAATTAGGTCAGTTTTTTACAAAAGTGTTCTTGAAATTTGAAGTCGTACTTTGTTATGATTCTTTATTTTATAAAACACAATTGTCTAGTATAAAATTGTTGAATGCATATTAGATATTGTGTCACTTATAGATAAAAATAATTTGTTTAAAAGAAATAAGAAAGTAACCTAACTTTTTTTCAGAATGTCTTCAAGGTCGAAAAAGATAATGGAATTGATTAATTTTACAACTGAACCTGCTCATGATACAAAAGCTCAAATTCAAGATCCCATTCTGAACCCAGACCCTAGTCAATCTCCTATAGATGAAGATAGTTCAGTTCAGAATGATGTAGTTGATGTCGCGGTAAGTACTCGTAATTATTATTTTATTCTTTTGACTGGTTTCTCCCTTTTTAATATGGTATTTTTATTTTAAACTAGAATTGCGCACGCTACTTCGTCGCGTCTTTAAGTTTTCCTGTCATTCTCTATTTTAGGTACCCCTTAGGGGGTGTAATTGTGAATACTAGATGAATCATGTCTTTTTAAACCTTGTATTTCGTCATCTATTTTTGACGCTGACTATATTATAACTACCTATGTATGTACTGCCTGTCTAGCTATCTATCTACATACATACACACTTGCATGATTAAGAAGAGAAAACAATAAATTGTTTTTTTACAGATGTTACGTGATATTACTAATAAACTTGAAAACCAGCGTTATTACAATGCTACGGACTTTTTTGTTAACTACAATGTTTCACCCGTACATTCTGGTGAAATAAGTGCAGATATCAGCGACAATGACGATCCAACCTATGATAGTCAAATAAAAAAAAAGAAAATAGAACCAGTACATCCTTCATCACGTCGATCAACATCTAGCTCCAGCAGATCCTCATCCTCCAGTTTAAGCAGCTCCGGCAGTTCCAGCAGTTCCTCATCTTCATCTTCTGATGATGATACTGTGGTACAACCTTCTACTTTCGATCACGTGGATGATAATACTATCAATAACACAGATACTACAGCTAATGGACAGTCAACAAACGGACAAGAAACAAGTAAAATTGAAAACTGAAATGAACGAACTCAACATAGAAGAAGAAATAGAGATTATTAAGAAGAAAGGTAGAAAGCGCACAAGTAATCCTCAAAAATGGAAACAAAACTTAAATAAAATTCTAAGAAATTCTGGACGATCTTATGAGACTACGAAAAAGAAAACTGTTGCGGCTCGTGAAGTGAAACCACCTTGTACAGACAAGTGCAGGCTTAAATGTTATGAAAAGTTTACATCTCTTCAAAGACAGGCTATTTTTGATACCTATTGGAATATTGGTGAACTCAATCTGCAGCGATCGTTTATTCAGTCTTGTATGTCCGATGTTACTCCTAGGTATAAATATACAAACGCCATGCGCCCGAGGCAAGCTAATAAAGCTTTTCATTTTATAGTAAATGGTAGACCAATCCGGGTTTGTAAACCATTTTTTGTTGGTACGCTGAATATATCCGATCGTGTTATTCGTACAGTAATCCAAAAGTGTCAAAACCATGGAGTTTTGCAAAATGATCGAAGAGGTAAACACGACAACCACACCACTACTGATGAAACACTGATTTCAGACATTAAAACTTTTATAGACTCAATACCAAGGGTTCCGTCACACTACACAAGGCAAACATCTACTCGCGAATACATAGACGGGGGCAAAACTATTACAGATCTCTTCAATGACTTCAAGGTAGCGCAAGAGAAGAACAGTAAGCCCTATGGTAAGTATTGCATGTTTTACCGTACATTTACTAAGGAATATAATATTTCATTTTTTTTTCCGCGAAAAGACCAATGCGATCTTTGTCTAGAGTACACAAATTCAAACGCAGAGCAAAAAAGTATGATTTATGATAAGTATATAGCTCATATAAAAGAAAAAAAGCTAAGTCGTAATGAAAAACATGATGACCGTCTCAAAATAGACGACAAAAATAAAGTCTTAGTGTTCGACTTGCAGGCGGTGTTACAATCGCCACGAGGCGATACATCAGCTTTTTACTATAAATCTAAATTAAATAGTTATAACTTTACCATCACACTCTTAAACAAAAAAGTTGAACCCCAGATTAAAGATTCCTATACTGATGTAGAGTGCTATTTCTGGAATGAAACTGATGGCAAACGCGGTGCTAATGAGATAGGCTCCTGTTTATTGGATTGCTTTGAGAGACTATGTTGTGAAGCAGGGGTAAGTGCTAGTAATAGTGCTGGCCTGAACTTGATTCTGTATTCAGACAACTGCTGCGGTCAAAATAAGAATAAATACATAGTAGTGCTTTATCTCTATGCTGTAACCCATCTTAATATAGAATCAATCACGCACAAATTTTTAATTAAAGGTCACACTCAAAATGAGGGTGACAACATTCATAGCCTGATCGAAAAAGAAATTAAAAAGAACTTAAAATCAGGACCAATTTATTGCCCCCACCAATATGTATCCATCATCAAAAATGCCAAAAAGACTGGTCAAAAGTTCCGCGTACACGAACTTACATACGAATCATTTTTAGACCTAAAAAAACTGCAGGAAGATTGGGGATACAATTTTAATGAAACTGAAGATAAAAATGTTTTATCATGGAATGATATCAAAGTTATAAAAGTAATAAAAAGTGAACCTTTTTCATTCTATGTGAAAACAGAATACAACAAAGATGCAGAATTTGCAAAGATAAACATAAGAAACAAGAGAAAAAAATTGAATCCCCTATCAGAGCTGACAACAGTTAAAGCATACACAGGCAAACAAAAGCTCGGTGAAAATAAAAAGAAGGATTTAAAAGAGTTACTTGATAAAAATTTGATACCCAATTTTTATAAAGATTTTTATGATACGATTCTGTAATCAGGGTGAATACTTGCAAGGTGATAAAAATATTTTGTATGTTAAGTTTAGTCTTGTAATGACTGATTAAGTGCCTAATATTGAGAAAATTGATCTCTTAATTAATAAATAAATACAATTAGGTATTATCGTGTTGTTAAATAGATGATAAGTGTGACTGTTGATATTTCCTTGAGAATTTTTATTCAGATTTACGGTTTGTTTTTAGATTATAAATAAAAACTGGTTCCTAATATTGTAAATTTAATATTGATCTCTTCGTTAAGTTTAATTCGTTAATATTATAACCTAGGATAAGTTTTTACTGCTTTATTTTATTAAGTTTATAAATTACATTATTAGGAGTCAAAGACTCTTTCAGAGTTGATTTTAAAGTGCCTACCTATTATATACAAATTGTGTACTGTGATTAGGTATTTGAATATTGTACTAGGATTAAGTTCAATTCGATGTTTAAGACACAGGTCAGCATTTTATTTGAACTTTACTATGTTTTTGATTCTTTTTATTAATGAAAATAATAAATAAAACGAAATATTTTTTATACTTATTTTTTATTTTATATACCTTATAGACTCATATCATAACAATAAGAACATACATTGAATAAAATACGGACTCATTTCTAAATATGTCACCAGTATTAAAATTTTACTTCATAGTATAAAGACCCATACCTTAATATTGAGTATTATTTAGTTATATATTAAATAAAACACGGACTCATTTCAAAATGTGTCACCACTATTAATTCAATGTAACTTTATCTTTTATATTAAACTGACGCATCTTGAGGAACAATTTTTTTAACCGATTAATTTATAGTAAAAAATCTAAATTTATTTAAAATTATATTCAAACATTAATACTCACTTTATCAACTATATCTACAATACATTATTTCATTATATAAAGCTATTTTCTTTGAGTATTATATTCCATTTTGTAAGGTAAGTCAGGTTTGCTAAATTGTTTTTCGCGATTTCCCGAAAAACGTCTTTTTTGAGTTATGTCAGTATATGATTAAGCGTGCGATATATTTTGTATTATCATTCAAGGCGAACAGTTGAACGAAGAATTTAATGCGTCTCAGCACCATCTAGTGGCAAGTTAAAACAAAATAGATAACTTGACAAAACTTACTCTTCTTTATAACTCTCATATGTATCAAAATTTCTTCAAATCTTTCCATGTAAATTTCTAAGAAATTAATTTAATTTCTAAGAAATCTATTGTTAACTGTAACGCCGGCGTGTCCGCGGTCGTGGAGGGATTAATATGTATATGTCAAATGTATCAACATTTCTAAACAATCGTTGATGAACTTTCAGAGATTGCGATTTTACACTAACGAATAAATTTTATTTTATTTATATACATATGCATAATTCATTAATTTTGTCAACGAATATCCACAATAATATTATAAAAGTAAATCTGTTATCTATCTGTCTGGTTTACTTTTCACGCTTAAACTGCTAAACAGGTTTCGTTTTTTTTTTATGAAGAATTCAACTCTTCTTGATTGTTTTACGCTAATACGGGAAAAGCAAAAAGGCGGGTTATGATTTCAGCAATCTTCTTCTCTTCTTCGCTTCGCAACTATTTGTCGTATATTATTAAGAAGTATGTCTATACTATGTCACAGAATATTCAAATTTGCGGCTTATAGTGGATATAAGACATGTAATTAAAAAATATAGTAGTAATGTTATGTTTGGTGTCTAACAAAGGTCTTAATGAGCTCTATACATGCGTATATGCACACATTAAATAAACTTTATTTTTAGCTTTGAATTTATTGAGTAGATAAAATTTTGACCGATAGGTATATTATATTAAAAAAGCATACTCCATGCTAATCTAATTTGAACTTGACCATTTTTTACTTTAATTTTTAATAGGTACCTATTAACTTAAATAAAAATATTGATACTGTAATGTCATACGTAAAAAAGCGATCGATCATACTTCCTATGCTAATTCCTAGCACATAACATGTTTATCCATTTGTTATTAATATAGGTAATTTAAAACATTTGAAATTGCCCTTCACAACACTTCCTTGAAGTAAGAAAACCATTGAACATATTATAATATACTAGCGACTTACCCTAGCTTCGCTCGGGTGCGTCCCTGTGTACGCGAATTTGGTTTACAATTTTGTTGCGCGGAACCCTAATCCTTTTTCTTAAATAAAAGTAGCTTAAGTTACTCCTTATAACATCAGCTATCCGCCAATGAAAGTTCTATCAAAATCGGTCCAGCTGTTTCAGTGTTCAGCCGAAACAAACAAGACACTAGAATACAAACAGACAAAAAATTTAAATAACATTTTTTCCTTATATGTACCGTTTTAATAAAATTTTTTTGTTTTCGCTGGGGAAATCCATCATGGGGACCCTGCCGGCCGTCATAACGGGCAAGGTACTATGAGACTCCTACTCACTAAAACCCACAGCGGAACCCGTCGCCGCAGTGCAATGGGGCGTTGCAGGATCGCTTGCGCACACACTACAACACCCCTGCGGACGGCCCGTACCTCGCGGGCCAACCTCGCCTAAATCAGGATGCCCTCGATTCACAGAGCATCCCGACCGCCCCGATGACGTGCCGGGGAGTCCACGAGACCCCCCCCCGCAGTAGCTCCTCTAGGGTGGCGGATGAAGACATTACAAACAGACATTTCAATTTTATTTATTTGTATAGATTAATTCTTTCCTTACGTTAACATTGTGCAACTAAACAAAAATAAAAATTAATAGATGCTTTAATGAACACTCAGTTTAGTCGACATTAAAAAGGCACGTAGATACGAGTACATACAAACATACATTAATTACATTACTACTTAGAAATGCTGTTTCCTCGCTATAAATAAGAAATTAGCTTGTCATTAGAGAAAAATGGCACCGATTTCAAATCATAAATCCCAATAACACATTTATCCTGAGGGGTACATTTTCAGACAAGACAACATTCAAAAATCACTTACAAAAAATGGAAATTATAAAAATGACGAAAACTGTTGTCATTAACACATAACATGTCATTATAATTATTTATATATTTTTTTTGATTTCTGTTGATTAAGTGACTATTATAGAACAACAAGTTGTCTAAGCTCAAGTACTAAGGTACTTGCAGTTATTTTTGGCTATAAGTTTTTTCAGCAGATTTCAACTTGTCTATACATATAATTAATTTTTTTGTCCAATCTGTACATTAATTCCTGGAAAATCTTATTGAAATAATCATTATTATCGATACAGAGGCCGAATCTAGTTTTTAGAATTTTTGCCCGTCTGTCTGTCTGGGAACGCATCATGAGAAAACCACTGGACAGATTTTGATGAAATTTGGTATGATGATAGGTGGTTATCCGGGTCAACATATAGGATACTTTTTACTGCGAGAAAACCTTTCACCTCTGAGAAATCTATACTAACCGTTAAAACGTACCTAGGGACGAGCGAGGGTGAGTCGCTCGTGCAACAAAGTGTTACAAGTCAAATAATTTTAAAGGTAAAAAATAAAACACTAAAAATACTGTAATACATATAATTAAAAGATCTTGTTCAATATCATCTACAATAGTAAAAACAGTCATCTCATTTATTTACAACTCATTTACACAATGTATGTACATCACAAAATTCAAAATAATTTTTTAGAGTCCATTCATGTACAAAACGCATTTGATCAGTATATTACATTATATACAATATTTACACTGGGACGGGTAAAGACACGTTATGTACAAAATCGTCAGCATAAAAGTGACCTAACTGAAAATAAAACGACAAAATTCAAATATAAACATGACGTTTAATATTTCATGTATTCAAAAACCGGAACAATTTAAAATTTGCATTCTAAATTTCATCAGATAATGTAATAACATCTGGTAATGTGCATACAAACATATACATATAAACTTCAAAAATATATATTTTAGAGTTATGCCACTTTTGCGCTGATATATTACATAGCTGAAAATTTAAAACAAATATTTAGAATGAATAACTTTAAACACTCAGCTTGCATTTTTAAAGACAGTGTGTGACTTGATTTTTTTTTTCAATTTCTTTATCTACCCTTACAAGAAAAAGCGTCTGAAGCTGCAACAATCATAATCAATTCTTGACTTAAAATTTAATTTTCAGAATAGTAAAAAAAAACATTAAATTTAAGCGGCAGAAGTGTCAGTCATAATGATCTTTAAAATTTCTCTTTAATTAATACTTTCTTAAATTTTAGATTTACGCGAATATTTGACATTTAAAATAATACTACCTTTTTGGTTTTATTCGAGGATTTTGATTTTTTCTGTCTCTCCCGTGACCGTGATTGCTGCAAAGCATTCAAAAAGCCGGAAACCAAAAATCTGAATAAATCCGCGAAAAAATCCGAAAAGATACTTTTATTTAAAATTCTGTTTGATTAATAAAAAAACACATGTAAGTGAAAAAAAAGGGCTTATAAAATTAATAAAATAGACCTATAATCAAACTTTGTAAGAAATATAGTTCTATATTATCTATGTTTAAATCATATATAATTTACACCACGAGAACGAGAAGTTCCCTAAAATTTAGTGTTCACATCAATTTATTATATTTGGCTCTTTACCTAAAAAAATACAAGCAAAAAAATCCTTTAAACGGACCCGAGACGATCAATCGTAATTATTGTCAATTTTACGTTATTATCAACTGAAGCGATTGTCAATCGCAGTTACATGATTGAAAGCTATTAGTATTGATGGAAATTTTGATTGATACTCATTGACAGGAACTATTGAATTCGCTAATTGATCGTTTTCCTGAGTATTTGACAATCGTTTCCGTCATTCGGCTGCGTAGCTACCCACAGATACAGAGACTATCCTTTTATTGAAAAAATAGTTTAATTTTTAGTCGATAATAGACTTAAATTACAATATAGTCTCATTATATGTGTATTTTTATTATTTATTTCAATCATTGCGCCATTTTTATATAACATAATTATCTTTTTATTGTTGTAGGTTGTTCCTGTAGACCGATCATTCATTTATACTTTTAATTCCACGTTATAGCTGCTAAATTTCAAAATCACCGCTCAAACTCACTCGTGTCTTGCTCATAATACGTGACACTGGCAGAATATATTGCGTCTGTTAACGCAACTCTAAGCCACTAAAGAAAAAAAAGGAGACGAACACTAACTGTGCCAAAAAGCATACTGAGCGCAAACACATTTGAACACTGCATCAATCGCACTTCAATTACAATTCACATTGGCGTAGCACATTGACAATACCGATTGATGGTCTCGGGTCCGCTTAAACGCTTTAATTTCATACACACACTGCACAATAAGAAGATACATTATAAGTTTATGCATACTTTCTTTTAATTTGTGTTTTATAAATCATGACTAACAGACAGGGTTAAAATTTAAATTATAATATGTACTAACTTTAAGAGAGTTTTAATGACATATTCGCAAAATTTCGAGCCAGTAGAGATAAAAAAAATAATATGTGAACAAATCATTAATTCGCGTCTTACAAGTGGTACTCAGTGCAAAAGTGTCCTAACCGTGACATATTTAGTTTATGTATTTTATTAATTACTATATTTTATTACCTTTATTATTAGAAAAAACAGGAAAAATTAAAAGAGTGAGATAGGCCACTTTTGCGCTGTTTGTGGATTTTAGATTTGGAGGGTAACCTAGAATCATATACTAACATTAAAGCACCAGTATTTATATTTATATAAGTATAAGAATAAATAATAAATGCTTTTATCTCCGTTTATGTGTACAACTTTCAGTCTGTATGTTTAAAAGGCTTTTCATACATTTTCGCCTAAACACCAAATTCTTCAGAACATATGGGAGTGAAGGATAACGTCTTGATTCACCCGTTCTCGATTCGTTATTCTTTTTTTTTTAAATCTTGCGCAGTCTCCTCATATACATGGTTTATGGACTATAGTGTAATGGTTGTTTTACAATAAATAGTGTACGAATGACGAGTAATTTAAAGAATTAAACGAGAATGAATGTTCAATTCGAAGATTCGAGATTTAAATCATTGTGTGTATAAAATGATTAAAATCACCACACGTAGGGTTATTTGAGCTGCGTTCCGCTAGAGTGACAATCTCCTCTTGGCGTAAATGTACCAAAAGTGGCCTTTAAAGTTAGCATCTAAGACTTAAGTATGTATATGGGTGAGTTGAGTTGCCATCTATTTACTTTAGGTTTTTATTTATAATTTATATAAAAATAAATAATAATTAATAATTATTATAATAAAATTATAAAATTCATACTATTGTTCAAATAAAAAATTGCAGAAAAATGTGACTCTACACAATAAGCGACAAGGAGTTTCCCTACATACAAGTAACAGAACTTTCTCCAACCAATAAAAGTCATTATTTAATCTTTGCATAAGGTTTATAATATAAAAAAATAAAGCTCAGTATCCATAGGTAATAAAGAGAATTTACTGTTACAAGTACCACTTAGAGAAACATCACCGCCAACATTAGTTCAATATGTGAGAAATTAAGATCATATATTAAATTCAATGCTTTTTTTATATAGAAAATACCGATAAAGATTCAGTAACATCAGCTACTTTAGTAAATATATTTTATATTTTGTAATTTCATACATATTTGTTTAAATATAAAAAAAAAGTTTGTAGTTTAATAGACTTGAGAAAATAAAAACTATTTTATTTTCATAATCCCCTTTTTAGGGTTCCATACTCGAAGGGTACCAACAGAGACCTATTACTAAGCCTCCGCTGTCCGTCTGTCAGAGGGCCTATCTCATAAACCCTAATAGGTAGAGAGTTGAAATTTTCACAGTATGTGTATTTTTATTGCTGCTATAACAATAAATAATAAAAAAGATTGCGATTTAGAAAAAGGCCGCCATAAAAATTGAAAAAATGTATGGTACAATATGGTACGGAACCCTTCGTGTGCGAGTCCGACTCGCACTTGGCCGATTTTTTATAATATTGAAATAATAAAATAATTGTATAATTTTTATGTAAACGAATTGTGTTAGGCAATAAATACATTTTAATATATTTAATACCTATATTTTTAAATTCATTTGTCTCAAAACAGAAAGTGGAGTAGTGGAATGGTAGTGCATTGAAAGATGATTTTGTAATGGTATAAAAAAATAGTGTCACTGGCACGTCTCTTGAAGCGCTCACGAAGTATGACAGAAATTAAAAAAAAATACTTTGAAGCTATTAACAAGAGAATTGAATTGAACATTGTCATACTTATTACGAAACACGATGACGTCGGTGAATCAGATTCAAATAAGCGTTTGTGAGTTTGTATACTAAATAAAACGTCGCAAGTGTGATGAAGTATAAAGAACAAGCGTATGTGCCATTTCTTTTGTTATGACTATCAACGCTAAGCATACGCGTCGCTCCTTGGAGGTACACATATGTTGGTATGCCGAATATTCTTGGGTATATACTATAACATGGAACTAACAGTGTAGTATCGGTCATGTTTTAATCCAGAGTAAAGATCTCCATTTTGAATTACACTCAAATTTTTTGAGTCAATATAGAAACATGCTCAATCAATCTTACGAATTTATAATATCATGTGATGTATGCTTCAAAAATAAAAACGGTCAATTGCACGCGATAGAATAAATAAATACAATTTTAATTCATATTAAAAAATAACGTATAAATAAAAAAAAACAATATCATCTCCGTGAACACGATCAAGATATGACGTAAAACTGACACAACTATTTTCGTACCAAGTCAAAAACCACTTACACTAAACCCGCCTATGTACAATAAAACTAAAGAGTGTCTAAAAACGTCACAATACCAAATCGCACTGCACGTCTCGGTACAGTCGCACACAGAATACGTTTTACACCGTACATACATATGTACAAGGACTCACTCACAACACGCACACGTACAAGCGGCGGTTACAGCGCCCGCCGTTTTATCGTCACTTTACCGCGCGCGAGCTGCGACACGTATATCCTCACTTTTTCCGAGTTCGTCTTTCTCACCCATATCTGAAACAAAGTATAGAGGTTAAAAGAATAGAGTAAAAATTAAAGAATTACTTTTAAAGTATAATTTAGTTTAATCCTTCAACGATCGCGGACACGTCGGCGTTACAGATAACAATAGATTTCTTAGAAATTAAATTAATTTCATAGAAATTTACCTGGAGGTGTTAAAAACACTACCCATAACGCCTTATTGAAATTAAAAAAAAAAACCCGGAAAAAAATACATAACACTATTGTTTACATAATATGACAATGTGAACAATGGATTAACAAAACACTACCCTGTTGAAATTTAAAAAAAAATACAAACGAACACGCACCGCCTCCTCAGTGACGGCGTGTATGTACGCGGGGAAGCGCTGCATGTCGCGGCCCTCCACGTACACGCTCTGCCCGCGGTGGAACCAGCGCCGCTCGTACAGCAGCTTGCCGTCCTCCACGCGCGTGTCCGCGTCGCCCGCGCCCGCGCCCGCCTCGCGCACCGGCGACTCGCCTGCGATGTTTCATAATACCACACTAATCATCGATCAAAAAAGTACTAGATACACAACGCATATATTATACGCATCGCACATACGCATATGCAAAAAAAGTCAATAAAAAATCTTTCGCAATTATATACATATAACATATTTGTTAAGATTTCACAGTTCCCAAAAGTGATAACAAATATTGTTCCCTCGAATCTTCTGAAATTCTCAGAATCTGCATCATTGATGACTGTTATAAACAATACTTATTTATCTACATACATTCGCTTCGCTAGAGTTCGTCCCTAGTGTAAAGCAAAACCAAATCTATTCCACGGAAACTGTACATTTTTCCGGAATAAAAAATAACCTATGTGATTTCCGGAATAAAAAATAACCTATGTGATTTCCGGAATAAAAAATAACCTATGTGACTATAATCTATCTCTGTGGCAAAATTCATCCAGATCCGTTCAGCTGTTCTGGCGTGCAAGAGTTACAAACATCTATTCATCCATCCTCACAAACAAACTTTCACATTTATATATTAGTAGGATATATGTTATAAAGCATCGTCAATCAAGATATCTCAAAAAAAATTACAATTGAATAGCTAGATCTTTTTCTTTCATAAAAAAACCTCATTAAATAATACTCACAACTATTGGAATTTAAATGTTTCCTTGGTTGTGTGGAATTATGTGATGGATTGTGATGTCTGGGTGGCGGTGAGCTTCTGGATATGGCTCGAAGGTCCGCATCAATGTCCCTCTCATCCAACTGGAAGGTCAGTGTGGTGGTGAGAGGTTTTCTGCGCTTCTCTGGTGCAGGGGCAGGCTCGTTGGCTCGTCTCCTCAATATCCTCTTCATCGGTGGTTTGACCTGAAAATTATTTATGTTAGTATTTAGTACATCTTCTCCTATATAAATAGAAATGAATGTTCATGTTTGTCGTCTATGCGTTCCTAAGAAATTGATCCAATAGGGAATATGCGTGTGATTTAAAGAAAGATGAAATATATTTTTCTATAATCTTTATTGTTTTTGAATCAAGCCTATAACAATACTTTTTAATTTAAATTCTTTTTTAATAAGAAAATAATTATTAAAAAGTGCAAATATAGGTAGGAAATTCAAAGTAGTTGAAACGCACGCCATTGGTCAGACCGAATATGACGTCAGAGTATATCATAACAGAGCGATTAGCGATTTTGTTACTACAAATTACGTCGTCATTTTTCTGTTTAGGATATACTTTGACATCACGCCAAGCACGCGAAATAGCGGGCTTTTAAAGTATCCGTATCGGTAAGATATTAAAAAAAATGTACTAAATCTCAGTTTTTAGGAGTTGGACATTTTTTTACAATTATATAGGAATGTAAACTATTATATAAAAAATGAAAAAAAAAATCATGTATATTCCCTATTGTGATGAAACTCTGGTTACCCCTGTATCCGTTTGTGATGGTTCCAGGCACAAAAAAAAAGAATTTTTCTTTAGAAGTTTGCCTTCTCTGCGTTTCCTAAACCAATCAAGCTCAAGGACCTGAGCAAAGCGAGTGTAAGTCACTAGTATTTTATAAAAAAAATACTGCTTCTAATATAGATATTTTAATTTTTTCACACTTTATTGATATCAGCAAGTACATAAACACAGATAACATGACTCTTTTAACTGATAAAACACTGTTTAAAAATAATGTAAACATTAAAGACTATTATGGTACAATAATACTACTACTACCTACAGCTCATAGATAGTGGATTCGATCTTTTTATTACTCGATCTTTTTATTACTTTACATAATAATCAGTTTTTTTCTTGTGATATTTTATTGATTACTAGAAACTCACCCTCTCTCCGCTCGGGTTCGTCCCTAATTACGTTTTAATATTTACTATAGATTTCTCAGAGATATTTTACCACAGTAAAAAGTATCCTATATGTTGACACGGATAACCAGCTATCATCATACCAAATTTCATCAAAATCTATCCAGGGGTTTTCTTGTGATGCGTGCCTAGACAGACAGATGACAAACTATGGATTCGGCCTCTGTATCGATAATAATGACTTATTGATGAGATTTTTCTTGTGATGTTTTATTGATTATTTAAAGCTATAATTTCCTTAACACTTATTGATTGAAATAAAACTTTAGGCAAGTTGTCGGCGACGGAAAACTTATCTTCGAGTAACGTGTGTATTAATATAGGGACAATGTCATTTTAGCGTATTATGAATAATTGTTGTAAATATGAAATCTCATTCTTATTAGATTTATTATGTTAAAATAAGTTCTAATTAGTGTAATAAGGTTAGTTTAGAGTATTTTTTGCTTATTTGAATCATATAAGACTATTTAACATTAATTTGAAAGGAATAGGTACGTAAGTAAAATGTTAGCATATAATTACGTAACTTGAAAATGAGATTTTTTGTTTCTTGCAATAGCATAATAGTTTATGTTTTAAATAATAGATTTTATTATAAAACTTATAATAAAACAAGAATTAGGTCGATAGGACTATCCGTTCAAAAGTTATAAGGGAAAATGTATAGTAAAAATGTAGCAACCTAGAAATTTAGATATTTTTGTTTTAAGACTTTTTTAAATAATTATTATATATTGAATATTATGTTTTAATATTGTATAATAGTATGTAAGGCATGTAAATAAATAAATATGTGTAAGGTGTTTTACTGAAAACATAAAATAAAAGGACTCTCAAGGTTTCGGTTTAGGGAAATTTTATTCGAAAAATGAGCTCAAAGTACGCGGCTCTCTGTAAGGTATTAACGGGCCAAATAAAAGGCGAGCCATTTCTCGATTCGAGTCAGTCGCAAGACAGCCACCGAAGAGGCAACAACTAAAAGGAAAAGGAAGAACCGAAACCAAGAGAGAAAAAAGGAAAAAATTGTGTTTTATTTCATCGCCTCTAAGTATAGTCTCCTGTCAACGAAGAAACCCTAGTGGATCGGGACCCAAGCTACGCATTCAGGGGTGCGTGGTGGCGTACATTACCAGCGAACGGACATACTGCCGTGTACGCCAAGAACGTCTGGGAGATTGTCCCAGGTCGACCTCCGGGTACTAGACATACCCTGGTTCTGGTCGTCCGAAACAGTTGGTCCTTCGAGCCGGATCCCTGCTAGAAGAAGTTCAGAAGAAACAGAAGATTGCGTTCAAGATGCCGGTAACCAGGTCGCAGAAGGATGCCCCCTCACGTCCCGGGTCCCGTCCTTCAGATAGGGACGCGACAGATGGAACGTCGGGATCAGAAGGGGTCACGTCAGCGTCGGCGTCATCGGGAACTGCAACTACATCGAACACTTCTTCGGGTACCACGACCACGGAGGGCACCACAGTGACGGAGACTACGGTTACGACTGCAACTACGGCGGCGTCTATGGAAGGCAGCAAAGAAGATGCTGCACAGAGGATGACCAGGAAGAGCCAAGAAGATGTACCTGGAAAGGATGTTCAAGGCTCCTCCAAGACCCTGAAACCGATGGGGGTCAGTCGTCGCGCCAGGTCCACGAAGACCACGAGTTCCTCGGCCAGAAGACGCGAGCTAGAAGCAAAGGAAGAGTTGGCACGCCTGGAGTTGAAGCAAGCACAGGCTGAAACTAAGCTAGCCCGTGTCAGATTGGAGATGGCACAGTGTGAAGAAGAGGACTCCGTGGATGAAGACCTGGAAGACAGAACAGCACAGGTGCAGAACTGGATCGAGACGTCTGTGCTGGAGGATGGCAACAAAGTTCAACCAGAGATGCGAGGTCCACACCCCTTGGAAGAGCCACAGAAGATGAAGCCTGAAGAGAACTCCTCAACGAGAGGAGCTACGATTGAAATTCAAGCACTGACGGCAGCATTGAAGGAAGCTCTTACCACGCGAGGACCAGCAGGACAGCCAACCTACATTCACGAGTTACCCTACTTCGACGGCAACAGCAGCGAGTGGATGGCCTTCAAGGTTGTCTATGAAGATACAGCACCGATGTTCAACAACGTCCAGAATATGGCTCGGCTAAGAAGAGCACTGAAGGGCAACGCAAGAGAAGCTATCAAGAGTCTGCTGTACTCCGAAGCCTCTCCGATGGAAGTGATTCAAGCCCTCAGAAGAAGATATGGAAGACCAGATGCACTGGTGCTGGCAGAGTTGGACAAGGTCAAAACGTTGCCGAAGATTTCTGAAAACCCAAGGGACATATGCCTCTTCGCGAGCCAGATCAGCAACAGCGTAGCGGCAATAAAAGGATTGAAGAAACCACAGTACCTGCATTCACCTGAGATGGTGAAACAAATTATTGAGAAGATGCCTACGATCCTCAAGTTCCGATGGTACGACTTCATTGAAACAACAGAAGAAGGCGAGTTCTCCGACCTAACACTGGTGTCCAAGTTCCTGAACAGAGAAGCAGACAAGTGTGGAGCCTATGCATCAACAGAAGAGAAGAGCGGGTTCAGACGGACTCATCGACAAGCAACGCATTCAACTAAGGAAAAGGACTTCAAAGAAAAGGTTTCAAGATCAGAGAAGACTTGCCCCATGTGTGAGGGTGAACACTTCCTCGTCGGGTGTCAGAAGTTCCTGAAGGCGTCTGTGCAAGATCGATGGGCAATAGTGAAGAAAAGCCGCGTTTGCTTCAAGTGTTTACAAGGGACACATCGGAAGGAGAGCTGCAAGAAGCCGTCGTGCAAGGAATGCAAGAGGTGGCATCATCATCTGCTGCACGTCGAGACAGAGAAAAGTTCCTCGGAAGAACAGAAGAACAAACCACAAGAAGTGGCGAGCATCATGGCATCTGTGAATGCGATCAACAACGCAAGGGCATACCTGAAGATAATTCCGATAGAAATCTTCGGGTCAAAAGGATCAAAGAAGATATTGGCCCTCATGGATGAAGGGTCAACAGTGTCGCTGCTAGACCAGAAGGTAGCAGAAGAAATCGGCGCTCAAGGAAGAAAGGAGGAACTGGTCATCGAGACTGTTGGAGGCAGGCTGATAAGGAAGGAAGACTCTCAGATGCTGGACCTTACGGTGAAGGGGATTCATCAGAAGACCAAGAAGACCTTGAGAAGAGTCCGGACCATCGACGAGTTGAAGCTTGCACCGCAGTTCCTAGAAAAGAAAAGGATAGAAGAACGTCAACACTTGAAGAAGATTGCTGACTCTCTATATTATAAGGGGGAGTCACCACAGCTGCTCATTGGTCAAGACAACTGGGAGCTAATCGTGACTCAAGAAGTAAGAAGAGGGAAACCAGGACAACCAGTCGCTTCAAGAACAGGACTTGGATGGGTGCTCCACGGGTCAGACACTGGAGGCGCGAAAGTGGTGCACTTCTTAAACACGTGTCTACATGTCAGCACGCCAGAAGAAGAGATGCATCAAGCCATCAAGGATCACTTCGCAATCGAAGCACTTGGAGTACTACCAAGAAGACCCACTACGGATTCAGAAGAAAGAGCACTCACCATCCTAGAGAAGACCTGCAGAAGACTAGAAGATGGTCGATTTGAAGCTGGACTTCTATGGAAAAATGAAGATGAACAGATGCCTGAAAGCTACACGTCTGCCAAGAACCGATTGTTCAACATTGAAAAGAAGATAGACAAAGACCCTCAGCTGAAGGCAGAATACAATAAGCAGATCCAGCATCTAATCGACAGCAAGTATGCAGAAGAAGCACCTGGTGGACAAGAAGATTCAAAGAAGACATGGTACCTCCCTCATTTCTCCGTGGTACATCCATTGAAGAAGAAAATAAGGATCGTCTTCGACGCTGCAGCCAAGTCTAAAGGGAGAAGCCTCAACGACGCTTTACTACCGGGACCAGACCTACTGCAATCGCTCTTCGGGGTATTACTGAGGTTCCGGCAAGGCCCGTTTGCAGTGGCAGCCGACATAAAGGAAATGTTCCTGCAAGTTCGCATCCGGCCAGAAGATAGAAACAGCTTGAAGTTCCTGTGGCGAGGGGATCGTCGTGACGTAGCACCGAAGGAGTACAGAATGACATCAGTCATCTTCGGCGCGACATCATCTCCTAGCACAGCGATCTACGTGAAGAACCGGAACGCGGCGGACTACAAGAAGCAGTACCCAGAGGCAGCAAAGGCAATCGAGCTGAACCATTACATGGATGACTACCTGCACAGCTTCCATTCAGAAGAGGACTTCAAGAGAATTACAGCGCAGGTGGACTTCATTCACAAAAAGGCGGGCTTCGAACTCCGAGGATGGGCGTCAAACCACTCCGACCTGCTGCAAGACGTGAAGACTGAGTCAGTTGAGAAGACAGAGGTGGACCTTGGTGAGAAGGAAGAGAAGACACTGGGACTACGCTGGTTTACAGAAAGGGACTCCATAGGCTTTAGGGCGAACCTTCGGAACACGCCAGATGAAGTGGCACAAGGACTCAAGGTACCTACGAAGAGAGAAGTCACCAGCGCCGTGATGTCGACCTTCGATCCACTAGGGCTAGCATCACCAATTCTCATCCAAGGCAAAAGGCTGCTCCAGAACATATGGCGAAGTGGCGTCGGTTGGGATGAAGAGATAGAAGAAAGGGAGTACGAGTCATGGAAGACTTACCTGGAGAAGATGAAGCTGCTCCAAGACCTTCAGATCCCGAGATGTCTGGCACCACGTCGCACCGAGGGGGAGCTGCACACGTTCACGGATGCAAGCGAAATGGCGTATGCAGCTACGGTATATTGGAGAACTGAAAATTAAAATGGGACTTATGACGTCAGCTTAGTAGCAGCAAAAGTAAGAGTCGCTCCGTTGAAGCCGGTGTCAATCCCGAGACTCGAGCTGCAAGCGGCCCTCCTAGGAAGCAGATTGGCACACTCGGTCGAGGAAGAAATGGATCTGAAAATAGAAAAGAAGACGTTTTGGACAGACTCCAGTATCGTGCTATCATGGATCAAGACGGACCCGAGAACCTTCAAGACATTCGTGGCTCATCGCTTGGCGGAGATAGAAGATCTCACAAAACCACAGGACTGGAGATGGGTACCGACGGCGCAGAACCCTGCAGATGATGCAACACGTGACGTACCAGAACACTTCGACTGCCAACACCGATGGTACACCGGACCAGGGTTTCTAAGAAGAGATGAAGTTCACTGGCCTGCGGCAAGAACATTCAAGAAAGAAACCACTGGCGAAGAAAAGGCAGCGGACATCGTAGCGACTGCAGGCAGCTCCTATCCATCACCAGATCCCGAAAAGTTCTCGTCGTGGAAAAGACTTTGGCGAGCTACAGCAAGAGTACTGCAGTTCATACAACTCTGCAGAAGAAAGGAAAAGGTCCACGCCAGCAAAGAAGATCCTACCTGGAAAACTACAAAAAGGAATAAGAAAATTGTTGAGAAGCGACATCTGTCTTCAAAAACGTCAGAAAGGAAATACATACCATTGGAAACAAGTCTACTAGAGCAAGCTGAAACGCTGTTGTTAAGAAGAAGTCAAGAGAAATGCTTCAAAGAGGACATCAGGTGCCTACAGCAAGGAAAACAATTAGAGGGCAGCAGCAAGTTGAAAAGGCTCGACGTAGTGCTAGAAGAAGGTCTCCTGCGACTGAAAGGAAGAATCGACGCGATACGAGGGGTTACCAGAGACTACAAACGACCCATCGTACTCGACAGCAAGGACAAGACAACACTTCTCATCATAGAAGAATTTCACTGCCGCTTCAATCACGGGAATCACGCGACCGTAATGAACGAAGTAAGACAACGCTTCTGGGTGCTAGGACTGAGGTCAGCGATCAAGACCATTCAACATCAATGCCAGTGGTGCAAAACAAGAAAGGCAAGACCTCAAGAACTACCAGTGGGCAACTTACCTGCTGAGAGGCTGATGCACGGAAACCCTCCATTTACGTGCACGGGAATAGATTACTTCGGCCCTATGACGATCACCGTAGCAAGACGCCATGAGAAGAGATGGGGTGCTCTATTCACATGCTTAACAACACGAGCTGTACACATTGAGCTCACTCCTTCACTCTCCACTGACAGCATGATCATGGCACTACGACGATTCGCCGCGAGAAGGGGAATGCCAAAGATAATCTACACCGACAATGGCACTAACTTCGTTGGCGCCAACAAAGAACTCAAAGAAGCACTAGACACCATGAAGCAAGAAGACCTTATCTCGGAAGCGGAGAAGATCGGTGTGCAGTGGAAGTTCATACCTCCTGGTGCACCAAACATGGGAGGTGCATGGGAGCGTCTGGTGCGATCCATTAAAACCGCACTGGACGCCACGCTCAACGAAAGGCAACCACGAGAGGAGGTACTTCATACCCTCCTGTTAGAGGCCGAGCACATAGTCAACTCTCGGCCCCTCACCCACCTCTCCGAGAACCCTGAAGAAGAAGCACTTACACCGAACCACTTTCTCATCGGGCGATCATGTGGCGCAGCAAGAATCGGCAGCTTCGAGGACAACGAGCTTGTGGGCAGACACACCTGGAAGGCTACGCAGCGACTTGCCGATCACTTCTGGCAACGTTGGCTGAGAGAGTATTTGCCCACTCTACTACCAAGGAAGACCAAAGGAAGAGTCAGCGCCACAGATTTGCAAGTCGGAGACATCGTACTGATCGTCGATCACAGCCTACCAAGATGCATCTGGCCACGCGGAAGAATCCTGCATGTGTATCCTGGACCAGACGGGCGGACCAGAGTCGTCGACGTCGAGACCAGAGGAGGTGTTCTACGGAGGCCCAGTTCGAGAGTGGTGCTGTTGGTGCCGGGAGCGTCGCCGAGTCCAGGAGTTGGTGCAAAGCACGAGGGGGAGAATGTCGGCGACGGAAAACTTATCTTCGAGTAACGTGTGTATTAATATAGGGACAATGTCATTTTAGCGTATTATGAATAATTGTTGTAAATATGAAATCTCATTCTTATTAGATTTATTATGTTAAAATAAGTTCTAATTAGTGTAATAAGGTTAGTTTAGAGTATTTTTTGCTTATTTGAATCATATAAGACTATTTAACATTAATTTGAAAGGAATAGGTACGTAAGTAAAATGTTAGCATATAATTACGTAACTTGAAAATGAGATTTTTTGTTTCTTGCAATAGCATAATAGTTTATGTTTTAAATAATAGATTTTATTATAAAACTTATAATAAAACAAGAATTAGGTCGATAGGACTATCCGTTCAAAAGTTATAAGGGAAAATGTATAGTAAAAATGTAGCAACCTAGAAATTTAGATATTTTTGTTTTAAGACTTTTTTAAATAATTATTATATATTGAATATTATGTTTTAATATTGTATAATAGTATGTAAGGCATGTAAATAAATAAATATGTGTAAGGTGTTTTACTGAAAACATAAAATAAAAGGACTCTCAAGGTTTCGGTTTAGGGAAATTTTATTCGAAAAATGAGCTCAAAGTACGCGGCTCTCTGTAAGGTATTAACGGGCCAAATAAAAGGCGAGCCATTTCTCGATTCGAGTCAGTCGCAAGACAGCCACCGAAGAGGCAACAACTAAAAGGAAAAGGAAGAACCGAAACCAAGAGAGAAAAAAGGAAAAATTGTGTTTTATTTCATCGCCTCTAAGTATAGTCTCCTGTCAACGAAGAAACCCTAGTGGATCGGGACCCAAGCTACGCATTCAGGGGTGCGTGGTGGCGTACATTACCAGCGAACGGACATACTGCCGTGTACGCCAAGAACGTCTGGGAGATTGTCCCAGGTCGACCTCCGGGTACTAGACATACCCTGGTTCTGGTCGTCCGAAACACAAGTCTAAGAGGTAAGTCTATACATTGGAAAAATGAGTGTCGCAGAAGTGAGTGTCACAGAAGTAAGAGTCAAATGTATTATTAACAATTTTAAAAAATATAACATATTTATATTTTTATAATAATTATTATTACTTATAAAAATGAATATTTATTGCTAAAAATTTTATAAAAATCATTATATATATATATATATATATATATATATATATATATATATATATATATATATATGTTTTAATTTAATTGCGGTATCTGCTACAGCACCAAAGAAGTTTTACTTCAAGTGCACACGTAAAGGACACACCCATTTTTTTATTTTTAAAGTAAAATGAACTCCAGCTTGATAGCATACAGGTAGTTAGATATTACTTTAAAAGTTAAAAAATCACAAAGAACTTACTTCTACTGAGTCTCCGTTGAGTTCCATGCTATGCCTCTCACTTTCAATGAGTTTTCGTTTTTCCTCAAAGTCATTTAACAAGTTTTCTCTTAACTCGATCTTCTTTTCTTCAAACTCTTTTGCCGCTGCTTTCTTCTCTGCTACATATTCCCGCTCCACAACATCATACATGTGATCTCTGTTGAAAATATACAATGGATAATGATTGATGACGCTGTCTCCAATTTTTATTCATATAATTGAAGATAAAAAAATACCATAGACCAATAAGATTCTAGTAGGATTTAGAAAAAATATATATTAAGACTTTCAAAAACTTTATTTAAACTTTTAAAAACCAGTAGAAAATGTTATTGAATAAACAATATTACTCTTAAGAGTATATTTTATTAAAATATATTGTGTATTATATGTATTTAAATAATAATATAATAAATTATACAAATCCTCATATATTAACTAACCGTTCCTTTTTTATTTTTTTATATTGTGGCGCAATATGAATATTATGATATACTAGCAACTTACGCTCGCTTCGCTCGGGTGCGTTCATAAGTATGTTTTAATTTTTTGTATGTAACCCTAATCCTTTTTCTTAAATAAAAGTAACCTAAGTTACTCCTTATAACATCGATTCCCTACCAGTGAAATTCCTATCAAAATCGGTCCAGCTGTTTCGGAGATAAGCCGGAACCAACAGAGAGACAGACAAAAAGTTAAAAGTTGTTTGTACAACTAAATAATTATGTTATTGTTTGATAAAAGCACTCACTTATATATCCTATTAAGACGTAACCGTTCCTGTAGTTGGTGCTCCAATCGTTTGACCCTTCTGACAAACTCTGGGTGTATGTTATCTTCTAGCTGCTGTAGCTGCTTTTTCAGGTTGGCCAGTTTGTCTTGGTACATCCTTAAAAATTATTCATAAGATTATTTATTTATGTAATAAAGAAGAATATATTTTTTTTTAACATAAACATAGAAAAGGTACATTTGAATATATAAGAAATATAACACCATAGGGTTAACTAACATGTTAGCGAGTTAATATAAAAATATTGTCAGGTAAAAGTTTGTAGTACATAAGTCATAACAAAATTACACTACAATTACTTAGGAAGACAATTAATACAAGTACTTACTGTTCTTTAATCTCCAGTGGTTCATCATTGTGGGGTATATCCGTTTCACTGGCCTCTTCTGTGTCTAAAATTTTATAATTTTATAATGGATTAATTGAAGTTTCTTTGATTAAAATACCTAATAAAAATTTAGAATAATACTTTTTATTGATAGAAATTTAGAGATTAAATGCAATATAAGACAAGTTTTTTATATAAAATAAGATTATTATATTATATTTGGTTAATATTTTTTTTCATGATGTGAAAGTAATAAAGCTATAGGTACATTTATTACGTCACGTACGAGGATTGTATCAAAAGGCGGGAAGTCAATAAAGTAATAAACAAATTACATTTTATTCTTCTAATGATTATGTAAGTTTTGTTTACAATCATTAGGCACGTATGCGTCGAGAATAACATGCTTAGACATTAAAGACAGGTGATATGACGCCAAAATAGGCTATCTATGTGAAGCATAAACAAAACATACCTTCATCGCTATCATCCACTGGTGGTTGATGTAATGAATCTTCTGGATCCCTGTATTCATCTATATCGTCATATCCATCATCTTCAAAGTCGTATTCGTCCCCCGGGCCCGAATATGGTGATCCTTGGTAAGACATAGTCGAGGCAACGCGTAATAGTTGCATACAGATTGACTACGTTCACTGTTTCAGAAATAATCTCTGAACACGCAAGCGTGAGCCAAAATGTCGAGAATTGTAATGCAACTACTACCTATGTCACTCATAGAAAGGATTTTCTTTTATATCTGATACTTTCTTCAATGAAACAACGAAACTGGATCAAATTGAAGTTGTTTTACGTCAAATTCGACAAGTCGAAAAAGCATCATTACCCACCTAAAAATAATGTGATCTAGCAAACAGTATAACATGATCGTTATTTACGGGTATTAGTACGAGTGTGAAAGAGAAAGAAGATTTATTAAAAAAGTCAACTTAACTTTATACATAGTAATATAATAGCATAGACAATAAATAAGGAGGCGATTTGATGTATAAAGTTGTTCGAATGATTTTTTTAAAGATCGATTTGAATAGACATATCAATATTTAATTACTTTGATAAAAATAATAATAATCTTTTTTGTGGTGCACAATCCTGAACTAGAATTTAATAAAATACTTCATTTAATAAATAAAGTATATACTATTGTTAGTATATATCAATTACACTAAATCTAAATAACTTTGAAAAACAGTTTAATAATTTACTATTAATTTAAATTTTATTAATAAAAATTAGCAATCTTTTCTCAGATATTATTCCGATAAAATTTTTTGTAAAACATAATCAATACATATAATAAAATTCTAACTACGGTTTTTTGGAAAATCTTATTGAAATAAATATAAATATTATCAATACAGAAGCGGAATCTATACTTTTTAGAATTTTTGTCTGTCTGTATGGCAACGCATCACGAGAAAACCATTTAACAGATTTTGATGAAATTTGATATGATTATAGCTGGTTATCCGGGTCAACCTAAAGGATACTTTTTTGCGGGAAAATATAATATATCATCTCTGAGAAATCTATATCAAACATTAAAACGTAAATAAAAACGTCAGTTGCTAGTTTTCTATACAAATATAGTTATACTTCTAAAATACTTCAGCGTTTTTGAAACTTGTTTCTTTTCTGTTTAGCTAAATTATATCAGCTAAATAATTAAGGAAAATTTGATTAGAAGAGTGTTATTTTTCTATATCACCCTTTTACAGTCTCACAACTTAAATAAAAAAATTCTTTCTTAATAAATAGATATCCATATCAATTTAATTTAAAACAGTCAATATTTTATCCAAACAGGTGTAATCATTTGGCCTGAAAGTTGATAGATCCATCAATTAGTCAGGACAAATCATAGGATTTCAGTTTATATAAAAAATAAAGATTACTGATTATTATTGTATCCAATTATTAAAACTCGACTAGTATCATCGATATAATCGAACATATATCAATTGATAATAATGGAAGCACTATAGAAATAAAAAACTTTATCCTTGTCTATTATTATGATTTGACGTCAAGAAAGAGGACGTCATCTTGTATGAAAATTCTTTATTTGATTAGTTTTGCAAATTAAAACACATCCAGTAATTTTGATACATCTTTGTAAATATACAGTGATTAAATTTTATACTTTTAGTTATGTGCACATAGGCAAACAGTTTATAAAAAAGTGAAGTGACGGTGACGCTATACGCTATTGTGTCGGTGATGTAATTTAGGTGATTGGGTGGCTTCCTAGTTGTAGATACTACAATGGAAGAATCCTCCTTTACTATCCCAGCTGACGACAATGGTGACACTGAGCTCGATCCTAGAATACAGGTCAGTGAGTGAAAAATAATGTATTGAGTAACTAATCATTGCCTTTGTATCAGCAAAGATGAGTGTCAACTTTGTAGATTATTTCGCCAACGAGCATAATGGATATGATATTTTATATCAAAACATGAAATACGGACTGATAGCTAGCAAGGAACTCTCAGAGTATCTTAGGGAGAGGTCGAATATCGAGGAATCTAATTCGAAACTTTTAGCCAAGTTAGCTAAACAAGCAAATAGTAATTGCGCCCAAGGTACTTTTGCACCTTTTTGGGGCGTACTAAAATGTTCAGCTGAGAAATTATCTAATTTACATCAGCATATGTTTCAAAAAGTCAGTGAACTTGTTAAAGATGTGGCTCGTTATGCTGAAGAGCTGCACAAAAAACATAAAGCTGTAAAAGATTCTGAATCAAGTACATTGGAAGTAGTACTTCTCATACAGAATACTAAACAAGCTTTACAAAAAGCAAAAGATGGGTACACATCTAAATCGGCTGAGTTAGAAAAACTCAGAAAAGAAAATGCTTCTGCTAAAGACATAGAGAAGGCTGAAGTAAAATTAAAAAAGCTGCATGAAGATTATAGACAGTTAGCAGAGAAATATAGTTTGGTTAAGCAAGATTTTGAAAAGAAAATGACTCAAACTTGTAAACATTTCCAGGATGTTGAAGAAGCACATTTAAAGCAAATGAAACAATTTGTTAATGCTTATGCTGACATAATTCAAAATAATCATGACCTTATGGGACAAGTTCATAGAGATTTCAAGCATCAGTGTCTTGAGTTAACAGTAGACAAGCTGTTAGAACAGTTTCTTGTTGAAAAGTACAATGCCTTGGAAAAGGCCAATTTAGTAGAACTACCTCCTACTTTACCAAAGCCTGGTTCAGCTAATAATTCAATCTCAGAAGTAGATCAGATTTCTACAGTATCTAATGGTTCTCATAAACCGAGTCAACCTCCCAAAGCAACTAAAAAAGAGCCATCATTTGCAACTAAAACTTCAAGAAGAACCACTTCCCTTCTTAATTTGTTTACACCTAATTTCCAAAGCAAAGATGAACCCAGTGTCAGCACTGAAGGTGCAGCACCATGCTCAGCACCTTCAAGCCCGAGTGGTACTCCAGCAACTCCTGTTGTTCAAGATAAAGATGATAATATGAACCGCACTACACTCAGAGAGTCAAAGTGGTTTCGGAGTAGAAGGACAAAGACAAAGTTTAAAAAATCTAAAAAGAAAAAAGATGAAATATCTGAAAATTCTAATGTTGGTGATAAGTCTGATTTAGAAGAAAAAGAAGAGGAAGTTCCAACAAAAGAAGACATGTTGAACTCACCTGAAGTTGACGAGGAAGGGTTTTGTATCAGACCTAAAGAAGAAAAGGGAAGTGGGTATTCTTCTAGTGATTCTGACTCTGAAGAAGAGAGGGAACAAAAAATACATGTTGAAATCAAACCAATTAGCAATGGAAATGCTCCAATGTCAGCAAGTGTGGATGAACTCAGAGCAACAGTAGAAAACATAAGCTTGTATAAAATTGGCACAACTCGACGCGGTTCAAATGCTAATACCAGTAAAGCCAGTAATGATTTTATTAATTTGAACTTTTTCCAAAGCCCCAGTGCTAGCAACCCAGCTTCACCTCATGGTAACGTCTCAAATCCCTATGCTCCTTTGCAAACGAATCAATCGCATCTATTAGAAAGTCCCACCCCTGTTTCTGCAACCGATGTTGGTGATTTATTTTCCGAAGTCGGTGAGATGTCTCAATCCAACTTTCGAACGTCAACTCCTACAATATCGACTATATCACTCCCTCGTCCTCCATCGAGGCGCTCTGAAGGCGATTTCAGAACAGCAGGTTCGTCAGGGTCACGCGGCCCTTCACCTCTCACTATAGGTATGGCAGACACAATACCGTTAGCTGTAGCATTCCACGAAATAATACACTCATATTTTCGTGGAACTGAAGAATCTAAGTGTCAAGTTAAAATGTCTGGCGATATGATGCTTTCATTCCCCACAGGTATAGTGGGTGTGCTAGCTAACAATCCTAACCCAGCGAAACTTTGCTTTAGACTGAAAAATATTCATAGACTAGATAACGTTCTGCCAAATAAGCAACTCATAAGTATAAACGCTATGATGTCTACACGTGATTCTACTGTGGTAGAATTTAATATGCCAGCACTAACATCACTTCTAAAAAGGCAGTCTGAAAAAAATCCCACCGCGCAATATTTCAATGTTGATATTCTAAAGTACCAAGTAAGACCTAAGTCTGGCGCTGCATCATGTCCATTACAAATGGTAGCATACTGGAAGTGCGAGCGCGACCATACAGACCTGAAAGTGGATTACAAGTATAATCTTCACGCTATGAGTCCACCGTCTCCATTACTTAACGTATCAGTATGCGTTCCAATAAATGGCGCTGTAAAAAATGTTATAGCTATGCCTAAAAACTCCTGGAACCCTGAAAATGAACAAGCTCTATGGAGATTTACAGAATTATCTCAGCATTCTGAGGATCGTGGTGTAGGATCGCTGAGGGCGCGGTTCGAACTGGGTAGCGGACCTTCTTCTAAAACAACCATCTCTGCTCAGTTCAACTGTGAGGGCGCGACTCTATCGGGCATCGAGTTCGAGCTCATGGGAAGCGGTTACCGTTTGTCTCTCGTCAAACGCCGCTTTGTGTCCGGAAAATATATTTGCGATAGTGATTTGCACTAATAGGTCCAACTTGTAATGCATGTAGAGGTATACAGTGTATATGCGAGGCATTTTGTATAACGTTGTTCGATCTGTATATCTTCGGTACCTTATGGGACTGTTTCCTGTCCACAGATATAATATTTGGATCATTTATTTGTCAATTTTAATGTTTAATCTATTAGTTTTAGCTTACTTATGACAGTTTTAACATTTTTTATATTCCAATTAATTATGTATCTGTACCCACAGCTGCACTAACATATTTCTTGAGAGTACAGACGTGCCATTATTCATGACTAACTCGTAGTTGTAAATGTATATAGATAATCAAAACTCATATATAAAATATTTAAGAACGTATTTAGCCAGTTCTAAACTGACCCGTTACACTACCACAATCTGCTAAGGCAACTAATCTGTTATGTTTGTAACTTAGTCCATTCTAACACCAAGAAACGAAGCTTTAAAATATTTTTTTTAACATTTCAGTACATGCAATACCTAAACGGTGATGTATTTATTACTAATTTTGACTATCTACCTCTCCAGGGTCAATAATATAGAAATTCTATTGCTCTATAACATTTCACCTTACCAAATTAAAAAAAAAAATTGCTACACTATTTAGAGCCATGTAAATCCGCGAATAAATGATTCTTACTAAAATAGAAATAAAATTTGCCTTTAAATTATTAAATTCAAACTCAATTGCCTACCGAGTTATCGGTTGTGGACAACTGCATATTTTACACATTTTCATTCGATTTTATGTTATATCATATTCAATATAAACTGTAAAAGCAGTACAAGAGACAGTAAAAATATATTTTACATATTAAATTCAATTGTTAATCAGCAGATTACAATTTTTCTGATATTTTTCATTGGTTTTGCATTTAAATAATTTTAGGGCCCATATAGTATACACTATTAAATAGTGTCACCTTACCACACAGAGAAAGTAGATGTTAAGTTGTTAGGTTACTTATTAATTAATTTTTATTTTATCGATATCGATTCAATAACACAATTTAATCAATTAAATTGATTTTATTTGAATCTCGATTTTTTTTAAATTTGAATATTTTGTATTATTTTTATTATATTTTTTAATTATTGGCAATTTTCTACCACCGGAGGTTTATTTGTTTAACGTTGATGTTTAGTGTTAGTCGATTTGTGTTTCGATGTTTAATATTGTAGTAATTGTAATTTTTAGTATTCATGTTTAGATATTACTGATTTGTAATCTCATTTTTTTCATTTTCCTATGAAATTATTATTTATATACGCACCTCGGCCTAATGTTTCAAATAGAATATAACAATGGCGTGTTAACAACCTTTACCAAACGTGAAGTGTTCATACTTTAAAGTCTAGCGATAATCCTATACTTAGTACAACTCTACCATTCCATTACTGTAAAATTTAAAATGTAATATTTATAATTTATCTACGTTTTACCTACAGATGAAGTTTCTTTACATAGTTTACGAGTAAAATCAAGATTGTGCATAATTTTTGTAATTTTCCAATGGGTCGCTCATACGATGTACCGCTATATTAAAACTGAATTCATAATATTTTTATATTGGCATGTATAATTCTAATGTATGTAAATTAATAATCTGAAATAAATGTAAGAAAATTCTATGTTGGAGTTTATTTATTCGAAATCATAAATGAACGGACTCTGTGTAAGTATTTTTTGTGTTTAAATTATTAGGCGCTTTCGTAGGGACAGGAAACGATCCGCATAAGGTACATTTTGATAGTGTGATGTGTTTATCTAAAAAGATAATATTAGTAGCGATATCAATTCTTTTCAAGCATTACAATGTCTCGAATGTTTCCCGTCTCTACATGTTGCTTGTTGCTGCCATACGTTTGGGAATACCGTGTGCGCGTTCCGTGCGATTGTTTGAAGTTCTTCAAAACTTTTCAGGTGGAGCTGGAGAAGTTGAATGCTGCCACTGATGAGATAAACAAACTGGAATTGGAACTTGATGTAAGTTGCATCGTATTTAATACTTATTACTTTCTTAGATTTACGCGAATATTTGACATTTTAAATAAAACTGTCCTTTCGGATTGTTTCGCGGATTTATTTGGATTTGTTGGTTTCTGACGTTTCGAATGCTTTATTGCAATCATGGTCACGGAATAGACCTGTCAGTGAGGGAGAGAGTCTCTCCCGTGACCATGATTGCTGTAAAGCATTCGAAACGTCGGGAACCAAAAATCAAAATAAAACCGCGAAATAATCCGATAAGATAGTTTTATTTATAGTGCATCATATTTATTTAATATTAGCTAGTAACTACCCATCGATCAAAAAAGTACTAGATAAACAATCCCATGCAAAAGATCTCTTAAAACTGCCTGCCACCAATTGTGTTTAGGTATTTATTCTAGTTGAAATAAATACATAATAATGTAAATTGAACCTTAAATGCAATGCTGAAAATTGTTTGTACAAAGAACATTTTTAAATTAAAAGCGCGCTATGTTTAAATGAGCGCTCATTCGGTGAGGACATTTTTTGTCAACGGTTGTGTATCTATTACTTTTTTGATCGATATAGCTACCTAACGTTTCTCGGGGAGAAATTAATATAAATAAAGATTAATATTATTTAATATAAATACTAAATATGACTTTGTCTATAGCTCTATCTATTAGTAAAAGAATTATCAAAATTGGTTCAGTAGTTTTAGAGTTTATTGCCTAGAAATAAACAAACATCTTTCCTCTTTATAATATTAGTATAGATTTGTTATATATTTTTGAATTAATGCAGTAACAGAGTATTAAAGTGGGCGTATTATTTAACAGTGTACACGATTTAACGTTTTGCGATAATATAGTGTTGCTATGTAATGTATTATATCCATATTAATATTATGAATGTGTAAGTGTGTTTGTTTGTTTTATTTGCTTTATTACGAGTATTTCACGGGAAAATACGTCATGTCACAACCCAAAAAAAATATTTATGATCATAATTACTTGAAACTTGGTATCTCTCAATTTGGCTCTTCAATACAATTAAATAAATAGGTGTTTTAGCATTCTTCGAAATTCATCCCATAAGGGGGTAAAATAGGGGATGAAAGTTTGTTTTGTTTTTTGCAAATGAGATAATCTCCCGCGGTGAAAAATAGCCTGTGTCACTCTCCAGCCCTCTAACTATCTCCACACAAAAAATTATGCCAATCAGTCACTCTGTTTTGACGTGAAAGAAAGTCAAACAAACACACTTTCACATTTATAATATTTAAGTATGATCCATAGCATAGCAAATATCAAGCCAAAGTGTGTAATTTTTATAGTTTTAGCGCGAGCGAAGCCGCAGGTTCTGATAGTATTATTAAAAATCGAAACTGGGTTTTGTTATTTGTGCTTAAAGTTTTGAGAAATCTGTCTATATATTCCTATAAATTAACTCGTGAATCTTCAAACTGGTTTTTTATTGCATATAAATCAATTAACATTTAAACATAAGAAATAAAAGGTTCACGGTCCAAGCCCTCCATAGAGTAGGGGTCAAGTATACTAACAAAATCTTTAACGTTGTTTAACGGATACTCTAATTAAATGTCAAAAAATTTTAGCAATATGCATGTCTACCTGATTAGTTATTCTGGACATATTAGAAGCGTACATGGAAACGGCAGACAGTTGCTATTGCAGACATTCTCTTGAAAAATCTGTTACCGCATCACGGAAAAACTACTGGAGGGATTTTGATGAAATTTGGAATGGTATTTATGATAGCTGGTTATCCGGGTCAACACATAGGATACTTTTTACCGCAGAAAAATATCCCATTTCTGAGAAAAAATACAAAAACTACAATGTAAGAGTATACTAATATGTAAAACCTAAGAATTTGGTTTTTGATCGCGGGCAATGCTACTTCTAAAATAAAATTAGGCAAATCGGTTCAGTCATTCTTAAATAATGCGCTTACCATCAAAGAGCGTTTCATTTTTTTATTTATATATAGGTAAATACAGTAATAAGTTTTTCGCGTAATATTTCAAATCACGTTAATTTCGACAGTGTGTCCATTTATGGCTCCTTTTTTTAATAAATACGTTATAGTTCGATGTTATGACAAAAGAATTATGTCCAATATAACAGCGAAGGATTTTTACGTAGGCACTTTTTTTGGTTTTGTAAGGCAACTAGGTCAGCACGGCAAGTAACAGATTAAATATTTAACTTGGTCAACGTAGTACGAGTAATATGTAATTATTTACCTATAAACGCTTTAAAAAGAAAACATAGTGTACGGTTAACATATAATTGCTAAGTTGACTATCTTAATATATATATTTCTTGTGTGCGTGTGTATGTGACTGAACTCCTCCTAAACGACTGGACCAATTTTGATGAAATTTTTTGTGTGTGTTCGTGGAGATTCGAGAATGGTTTAGATTTACAGTTTGGTCTACTGGAAAATGTTTTTTCAATTAATTTCTTATTTATAAGGAGTTGTTGATTTTGGAATGTTTTACATTAGATCCGGCGGACGGCGCTATCATCGCATTCAATATTATTCTATTTCAATTTTAGTTTGTCCCGACAGATGGTGCTACGATTAATTTGAAAAAAAATTTGTTATTCAATTCATGTGCTGATTAAAATATTAAATGTAATTATTTTTTAAAGAGTTTTGAAGTGTGTATAAATAATTTTGTGAATTCAGATGTTTTTTTAATTAATTTTTATTTGTAAGGAGTTTTTGATTTTGGAATGTTTTACATCAGATTCGACGGATGGCGCTACCATCGCATTCAATATTATTCTATTTTAATTTTAGTTTGTCCCGACAGATAGTGCTACGATCAATTTGAAAAAGTATTTCGTTATTTTGTGTTATAATTGTGTTATTCAAGTGAAGTTGCTAATTAAAATATTTAATGTAATTAGTTTTCGAAGAGTTATGAAGTGTATATAAATAACTTATACATTTTGTAAATTATATATATATATATATATATATATATATATATATATATATATATAATTCTTCTGTGAGTGTATATGTCACTGAACTTCTCTCAAACGACTGGACCGATTTTGATGAAATTTTTTGTGTGTGTTCAAGGGGATCTGGGAATGGTTTAGATTCACAATTTGAATAATAATTTTCATCAAAAAAATTATTAAAAAAAGTTTGAAATTTTCAAATTAAAGACGTGTAGACAGGACAACGTCTGTCGGGTCCGCTAGTTATAATATAAATATGTTGGGACATTAACACACAGCACCATCTAGATCCATGGTAAGCTAACGAGGCTTGTGTTATGGATATCAGATAGTTGATACACTACACATATATAACTTTAAATACATACATATTATAAATATAAACATCCATGACTGGAGTACAAACATTCATGGTCATCACACAAATGAATGCTTCCAGTGGGATTCGAACCCGCGACCGCTAGCACAGCAAATAGGATCACTACAAACTGAGCCAAACATGTCGTCAAAATATAGATCTTCTATATATAAATAGGCAAAGACAAAACAGTTCAGTGCCTTTTTCTCCTCTTTTTGTCAAACGATTTTCTTTTTTTTATTTAGTAGCTATTTAGCTAGAAGCTTTAGTATTATCAATAAAAAAGTAAAACAATTTTTTTTATATAATGACTAGCATTTGACTCTATCTTCGCTCGGGTGCATCCCTAGGTACGCGGATTTTGTTCGCATTTCGCAATGTCATGGGCTTTAATTTTTTTTTGCGCGGAACCCTAATACTTTTTCTCAAATAAAAGTAGCTTAAGTTACTTCTTATAACATAAGCTATCTGCCAGTGAAAGTTCCGTCAAAATCGGTCCAGCCGTTTCGGAGATTAGCCGGAATAAACAGACAGACAATTTTTTTTTGTTATAAGTACCGTATATACTTTCATATGTATTTAATGAAAAGCTGTTATTTTTACATTACAAACAGACACTTCAATTTTATTTATCTATATACATTAAGGTCGGATTTCGACCAACTGGTAAAAAACTAGTTAGTAGTTAGTACAAATAGATACCTAATAGTAAACAGGAACTGAATAAGTTCCCGTCTTTGCATTGTTTTTGTTTGGGCTATCTTCGAATCGTTGATGCAAAAATTTTTTTTTTGCATTTTATGAAATGAATATCCATAGGTACAATAAATCTTACAATAAATGTGTTTCTTTTAAAAGAAGCCGTGAATCTAATAGGTCAAACATGATGTAAGCGAGCGCTTGGCGAAACTCCAGATGTCGATACATAATTTTGTATATAATAGAAACGTAAAGGTAAAGGTTATATCGACTTTATCAAACGTGTTGAATTATTAAGAAACTTTGTTTTCATAATATTGCTTTCGAAATATTTATCTATCTAAACATATAATAAAATTCTAGCAGAGTCGAATCTGTACATTAAATATATTTTGGAAAATCTTATTGATATAGTCATTATTATCGATACAGGGCCGAATCTATAGTTTTTAGAATTTTTGTCTGTCTGTTACCGCATCACGGAAAAACCACTGGAGGGATTTTGATGAAATTTGGCAAGGTGATAAGCTGGTTATCCGGGTCAACATATAGGACACTTTTTACCGCGGGAAAATATCTCATTTCTGAGAAAAAATACAAAAACTGCATTGTAAGAGTATACCAATATGTAAAACCTAAGAATTTGGTTTTTGGTCATCTGAACGCGGGCGGAGCCGCGGGCAATGCTAGTATATTTATATATGTATAATATAGGTATAGTATTTATATATGTAGTTATAGTTTAGGTATTGGTTAATTATATTTTACTTGTATTTATTTTGTTCGAAAGTCGTAATCTAATATCAAGTTTCAAAACAAGGCTGTATCGTAAATACAAGTTTAAAAACCCATTTATTGGTAAAGGTTTTTCCTACACCTATTTAATTTTCTTATCATATCAAGGTGATCAAGTTAGATACTATCAATGAAATGGTAGTCTTTAACTAAACATATTATGAAAGTAGTTGGCACGTTGACTTGGCAATGGAAAAATAAAATGTGTCAATCGATTTTCTTTATTATCCTATTGTAACTACGTGTTGGTTATATTTTTTTATATGTCTGATACGATGTTATTTTATACATACACTAGCGATTCACCCTCGCTCCGCTCGGGTTCGTCCCTGGGGTGGGGTCTGGGAGGACCCCCCTTATCCTTATCACTTAGGGGTATGGAAAATAGATAGTAGCCGATTCTCAGACCTGAATACGCATATAAAATTTGGTAAAAATAGGTAAAGCCGTTTCGGAGGAGTACGGTAACAAACATTGTGACATGGAAATTTTATATATAAGACTAGCGATTCAACCTGGCTCCGCTCGGGTTCGTCCCTAGTTATGTTTTAAGGTTTAATATTGATTTCTCAGAGATTAGATATTTTTGTGCAGTAAAAAGTATCCTATACGTTGACCCGGATAACCAGCTATCATCATACCACACAATTCGGTCAAAATCTCCACAGACGAATTCGAACTGTTCCATTTACTGTAAGTAATGCTCACTAGGGAAATTTAATCTTGGTCAAAGGAGTTAGGTTAAGGTACAGGGAAAATCTGATAATATTATATATACCTATGTAATCCATGTACGTGACTTGTGTTGCATAAACTAGATGAAAGGAAGCCTGTCACACCTGTTCTAGCCTGAGCTTTACCAACTCTACCTAGCGTTTATAATAATAAGTTTTCTAAGAACTATGTGCATATCACCATAATCCATATACAGGTTACAGGTTCTTCAAGATATTGCTACATTTTTAAATAACCTTATTAGTGCGACTTCTGGCACAGTAAAGACGGTATTCGGCTAGCTTTATGTCGTAGTGTTAGGTCGCGAGTTTGATTCTCGTAAAGGAAATCATTGGTTAGGTGTTTATATGACTAAATTTTTCTTTGGGCTTGAAACAAAGACCGGCTCTTACTTCTATGTAATTGCAGATTTTTCATAAGCAAAATCCATTAAATTTTCAAACATCTAATGATAAAATTTTAGTTGTTATGGAACCCGTGACAGCTTTAGTATTTATCTCCTATACTAATAGTTTTAATTATCCCATCAATACTCACTTCAAATGTTTGTCTCCTAATTAAAAGTAAACCACTTATTCCTCATAGCTTTAGTTGAGCTTGAATTTTGAAATTACAAACAGACACTTCAATTTTATTTATTTGTATAGAAGTAAGAAAATGGGGTGTTGTACTCCAAAATCAATACATCAACAATAACGTCGTTAATAGAATAAACTCACGTAGGTACTTACATAATTTTTCTCAAAAAGAATAGTCTCTTTTGAAACGTATTAAAAAGCAAAATTATATTGTATTTTTTTCAATAAAGGCGCTCTTTTCCAGAATTTAGGATATTTTGAACCATTATAAAACCACGAATATAATACATATAGTTCTAAAATTCATACATGTTATAGTTAAGGATAATAGCTAAGTACCCGGAGAGGCCAAAACACGATTGGCAATAGTTCACTCGATAGAAAAAAAATCAAAGATAGGTCTAAAAATACCTTAAAATCTCTGATACACACAAAATACATTATTATATGATATGAAAGTTATACTCATAGATTTAGCTTGTCATTATTTAGGTATTCGGAGAAACAGATTTTCATTTATTAACTTATATTTATGGCAATAGGCGAAAAACAGATAAAATGAAACGGGTCGTCGCGCGCTGGCGCCTAGGGAGCGGCGATTCTGGAAAAGAGCGCCTTAACCTCTTTTTTTTTCATACTTAGAAGTGTTTTTTTTTTTCAAATATAAATGGGACCAACTTTCCAAATCCAATAAAATAAGAATCATTGAAATCGAACTACACTGTAAAAATTTACACTTGGTCAAACATAAAAAATAAAAAATAAACGTGTCAAAATGACTACCTACTCCTTTTTTTCGTCGGTTAAAAAAATATAAAATTAAGATTATACATAATTATTATATATCAAATAGCAATACGAGTATAACAAATTAAAAGTAATGTTGTTTGTATGTAAGTTTATGTGAATTTAAATAAGCCCATTGTAGTGATCGTGTATACTGTATATTCATTGTGAGGTCGTTGCGCATACGCAATAGATAGGGTCAATTAGCGCTGCCATCTCCCGTTCCCGTCTGACATGGATTCCTTTCAAACGGCTTAATAGGATTTAACAATCACGTAAGAGTTATTGCATTAAAGTTTAATTTAATAAATTAATTTAATGATTAAACGATTACGTCGTTATTATTATTTATGTTGTTGATTTTATTTGAATATTTTGCCTCTAAAAATATAAATAGGCAAAGACAAAACTGTTCAGTGCCTTTTTCTCGTTTGTTTGTCAAACGATGTTCAGTTTTTTTGTTTAATAGTTAGTTACTTATAATTTCTTTATACATTTTATCGATACTAAAAGATGAATTTTATAAAATATGAAACCTCTTAAGCTTGCAATAAATATGTTGGGACATGAACACACACCACCATCTAGTTCCATGGTAAGCTACGAGGCTTGTGTTATGGTTACCACATAGTTGATACACTACACATATATAACTTTTAAATACATACATATTATAAATATAAATATACCACCAGATAAACCCATGACTAGGAGTACAAACATTCGTGCTCATCACACAGATTAATGCCCCCAGCGGAACTCGAACCCGCCACCGCTGGCACGGTAAGTAGGGTCACAAACTGAGCCAAACGTGTCGTCAATAGAATAAATAGAAATAATATATCTGTATATAGTTCACCAAAATTTACCTAATTTTCTGCTCCTTTTTAGGAATCTGTGAAAACATTCCACCTGTTACTCAACGAGACGTCTCGGAGGCTTCAAGCTCTGACCAAACGTTTGGGGACTTGTGTGGATAAGTCCCGGCCGTACCACGACGCGGTCGCGTCCTCGGTTGTAGCTCGATCAGAATGTCAACGGGCTGCTGTGCAGTTCCAGAGGGCTAGTGGTAAGTGAAAACGGGAGAGTACTTTGGGATAAAGCGGAACACAGAGTCATGGGGGTCTAAGTTAATATGATGATGATTTTTGACCGTTTTCGGACCCGGCGGCCGATCTCATTGAGATTCGGCATTTGCGCAGAAGATATTTTAGTGCAAAAGTGTGCGCGCACTCACAAATGTAATTTCTATTTCTAATACTCCGGTGGGACTAAAATTGACAACAGTGAGAGATCAGGCACATGACCTCCGAGGGACGGGAGTGATACTGAGAGTTTCTCAACAGAGAGACTCTTATAAGTTATAACTAAAGGCCCAACCAGAAACTCGAGCCCAGAACCTCTGGATCTGCAGCTGTACATACTAGCAGTGAGACCACAGAGGCAGTTAGTAAAATTATTCTTTACTCGATATAAACCTGCATTAAAAAATTTCAAACTAAATGGACCAAACAAAACATCATTCTAACAAGTAAAAAATAACTATTACATTGCGTTATTATTTTATTGAAATATCTCGAAACCTAATTTAGTAATATCTATGTATTTTGTTTACCAAACGGGCCAGACGTACTCCACTGAGACACGATTGAACATAACATGGAAGACAAATATTTACACACTGTTGATTTGATTTGTAATACGTAAACATCAGTCGGGCTCCGCCCTCGTAGTACATAAATAAAAGGTATATTTATCTAATACATTAGACATTTCTGTGCCGAGTTTAATTAAAATTCATTGAAGGAGAATTAACAAGTAACACACATACGTAGGTACTCGTATTTATAGAATTAGTATGCTCTAACGAACCACAAACCTTTGTATATTTATGCAAACTTTGGTCGCTCAATTAACTGCCACATCAGAACACTGCATTTGTCAACAACAACAAACATTTATTTGAATCTATTAAATACTAGCCAAACCCGCGGCTTTGCCCGCACTAAAACTAAAAAAAAACTCTAAAAAGGTTTTTTTGACACAAACATTCATCCCCTACTTTACCCCCTTAAAGGATAAATTTTGAAAAAAAGCTAAAACGCGTATTTTTTTATATTATTGAAGAACATTAATACCGAGTTTCAAGTAATTCTGATCATAAATGTATTTTTTGGATTGTATTATAACATATTTTTCCGTAGAATTAGATAATTTCCCGCAATAAAAAATAGCCTATGTCACTCTCCAGCCCTCCAACTATCTCCACACTAAAAATCACGCCAATCCGTCACTCCGTTTCGACGTGAAAGAAGGACAAACAAACACACTTTCACATTTATAATATTAGTATCGACTAGCGACTTACCCTCGCTCAGCTCGGGTGCGTCCGTAGGTACGCGGATTATGCTCACAATTTCATCGGTTTTATTAATCTTTTCACGCGGGACTAATTCTTTTTCTAAAATAAAATTAGCTTAAATTACTTCTTATAACTAGGTATCTGCTAGAGAAAGTCCCGTCAAAATCAAAATTTGGTAAGAAGATAGTTTGAGACCCTGGGAAGGACATAGGATACTTTTTATCCTGGAACCATCCCCTAAAGGGGATGAAAATGGGGATGAAAGTTTGTATTGGGCAGCAAGCAAGCTAATAATTAGAATAAACACGTACTTACATAATGTTTCTCAAAAAGAACAAGATCCATCGTAACAATACAGCGAAACGTATTGAAATGCAAATTTATTCGCAATTCAGTATGTGATTTACCACATGAGCATGGAGAATCTTATCACGACAATAGTAAATTGTGCTCTTCCTGTAGGGTGGATACACCCACCAAGGCCGGTTGACGGTCAAGGACTCGTGTTACTCATGTCAATATTTAAAAAAAATGCCTTTATCTATAGGTACATATAAAAAAATTTAAATAATCCGTATGAAATGAAATTTGGTATGATGATAGCTGGTTGTCCGGGCCAACTTATAGGATAGTTTTTACTGCGGGAGAATATCTCATCTCTGAGAAATCTATACTAAACGTTGAAACGTAAGTAGGGACGAACCCGAGAGGAGCGAGTGTGAGTTACTATAAGTTAAACTTTTAATATTAGTTAACTTATAGTGTTATACTAAGTTCGGCTTTAGAAGATATGATGTGGAACAGAGTATCAAAATTTTATTAGATAACGTAAATAGGTATTAAACTATGTTGTTGTCGTTTTAGCGAAATAGGAACAAGGATGCCTATATTTAGGTCGAATTAGAAATTCAACACCCTTTAATGACTGTTAATATTGACCCGTTTTACAGAATTTTTCATTATTTTTAATACAAAGAGATCTTTAAAAAGATATATTATGTCAGTATACCTCATCGTCCATTAGCGAGGCGGTCAGATAAATTAAGTCCAGCCACAAACATTTCCACTGTACGTGTTTCAATTTGCTTTAATTTGCATAAGTGAGCCAATAAGCGTTTAACGTAACGTGTTACGTCATTTATATGCAGATATTTTGCAGAATTTTATCTAGATTATATTTGATTATCGAAAACAGGTGGTCTTATACGGTTTTTGGGATGATCTTATATAGTTATCTTATTATATATATTTTTTTATATGTTGGGACATTAACACACAACACCATCTAGTTCCATGGTAAGCTACGAGGCTTGTGCTATGAATACCAGATAGTTGATACACTACACATATATAGCTTTAAATACATACATATTATAAGTATAAACACCCATGACTGAAGTACAAACATTCATGCTCATCACACAAATGAATGCCCCCAGCGGGACTTGAACTCGCGACCGCTGGCATAGAAAGTAGGGTCACTACAAACTGAGCCAAACGTGTCGTCAACGTTATGTTCTTTTATCCTTTGACTAGTGTTTGCCTGCAGCCCCGCCTGCATAGTTTATTTCGTCTAAAGGTCGTGATGCTAGATAACCTGCGTAAATAAATATAATTAGTACTTTTAGTGACAAACGCGTTCAAAGAAACTCTTCAACTTTATATTTATTTACATATTTATTATAAAGGCTTACTAACTAAATTTATTTTGATTTTTGTATAACATTTATTTGTATATAAATTTAATTTAAAAGTATGCACAGCTTTTTACAGAAGTTTGTATTTCATAAAAAAATTATGTGGTTACAAGTATAAGGAGCCATTTCAGTTGTACAACAAACAAAAGAAGAAGAAAAAATTTAATTTAAATATTTAAATACAGTTTCTTTTTAAATTTCAAGAAAAATGTATATATGACATTGCTGAAATAAAAAATTATATAATTTAAAGCTTTGTAAGAATGGTGAATTACAACCGTATCTATTTTATCGTTGTGGGATATGTAGTGGTTTATAGTTAATAGCTCTTGCTGCAGATCTTGGTGTTTGTATATTTACTAACGATAGTAATGGTATTAGATATTTATATAAAACGAATAATATATTTCACGACACGTTTGGCTCAGTTTGTAGTGACCTTACTTGCTGTGCCAGCGGTCGCGGGCTCGAGTCCCGCTGGAGGCATTTATTTGTGTGATGAGCACGAATGTTTGTACTCCAGTCATGGGTGTTTATATTTATATTAGGTATGTATTTAAAGTTTTATATGTGTAGTGTATCAACTATCTGGTATCCATAACACAAGCCTCGTAGCTTACGATGGAACTAGATGGTTCTGTGTGTTAATGACCCATACCAACCCATATAATTACCATGGCAACATGGCTATGTATTCTATCTCATTCTGTCGCCGAATTAATCTATACATATAATAAAATTTTAACTAAACCGAAAACATTGAATATTTTTTGGAAAATCTTATTTAAATAGACATTATTATCAATACAGAGGCCGAATCTATAGATTTTAGAATTTTTGTGTCTGTCTGTCGGTCTGTTACCGCATCACGGAAAAACTACTGGAGGGATTTTGGTGAAATTTGGTATGATGATAGCTGGTTATCCGAGTTAACATATAGGATACTTTTTGCTGCGGGAAAATATTTCATATCTGAGAAATCTATACTAAACGTTAAAACGTAAGTAGGGACGAATCCGAGCGGAGCGAGGGTGAGTCGCTAGTAGCCTATATAAAATATCCAATGGAATTGTAGCCCAATAGTAATGCGCTCACCTGTAAAACCAATTGAAGCCCATTGAAAGTCAGTATTTTGCACTTGTATTATTTTCATGTGTAAATCATTTTCAACACTGCTTGCTTTTACTGCTTGGTTTGCGATGAAAAAAAAACTTTTGGGCGTGTTTTACCTCCTTTATAGGATTTTATTATACACGTTATTTCATATTTATTAATTTAAAAAAAGAATCATTTAAGTTTTATTAATTACATCTATACATATAATAAAACTATTGAGGTCGAATGTCTGTACTAGAAAAAAAAAATGCTAAAAAACGAGTCATGTAAGAAGAGATTTTTTTGTTTCTGTCTGTTTGTATGGGCTAATCTCCGAAACTGTTGGACTGATTAAAATGAAATTTTCCATGGTGGTACCTTATATCCTCGGTCAACATTTTAAATACTTTTCATCCCGGAAAGTTAAAGAGTTCCCGTGGGATAGTTAAAAAACTATAGTAACTTATACAGCTTAGTACACAAAAACTACTGATTGGATTTTAATGAAACTTTACAATAATATAGTTCATACATCAGAATAACAAATAGACTACTTTTTATCCCGGAAAAAAGGACGGTTCCCGCGGGATAGGTTTGTTTTTGTTTGTCTAGAGGCGAACCCGAGCGAAACGAGGATGAGCCGCTAGTATATAAATAAAGTTTGCCGGTTTTCCACAAATGACATTCAAAAATGATGTTGTAAAACAAACTCGTACTTGAAAATCAAACATTGTTACAGAACAGACAAACATATAGATAAGATTAGTTACACACTGAATGTATTTCAGATATCAACGACCTTGGTATTATTATTATGCCATTGTGGATTCTAGTTAAATATGCTTTAGTTTGCTGTGTTTTAACAGTGCTCGTTTGTGTAATATTATCTTTTTTAAGTAGTTTTTCTTGCAAAAACCGGAGAAAAACAGTCTTGCGGTATATAATACCTGTTTTTAGGGTTTCGTTCTCTAAGGGAGCCAACGGGACCCTATCACTAAGCCTCCGTTGTCCGTCCGTCTGTCTGTTAGTGGGCTATCTTATGAACCGTTATAAGTAGAGAGTTGAAATTTTCAATGTATTTCTATTGCCGCTATAACAATAAATAATAAAAAAAACAATAGCCGTTTGACCAGTTTTTTTTTCTATTTTGTAATACAAAGAGCGATAATCTTAAGAATGAAGTAAATAACTTTTCGCCCACTTTTGGAGGCGAGTCCCAAAAATAGGCATTGGTAGCCTAGTGATTACGCTCTTGCCTGGCAAGTGTTTAAACCGAGTATAACTATTTGCTAACGGCACGGATAAGAAACTCATGAAATGTAAACAAGCCGTCTACAAATACGCAGTCCACGAATCTCATTAGTGGCTGATATTTCAAGTTGAGGAAATTTAATTTGACAACGCAATTTGTTTCATAAATCAAATAAAAATTAATGAATACTTTCTGAAATTTACGTTTACGAATATTTGACGTTTTGAACAAATCTTATCTTTTTATAGATTGCTGTAAAACAAAAATCCAAATAAATCCGCGACAAAATCCGAAAAGATAGTTTTATTTAAAATGTCAAATATTCGCGTAAATCTAAGAAAGTATTATAAGATAGTTTTATTTAAAATCAATTGACACTACTACTAGCGACTCACTCTCGCTCCGCTCGGGTTCGTTCCTAGTTACATTTCAACATTTAGCTCAGAGATGAGATATTTTTCCGCAGTAAATAGTATCCTACATATTGACCCGGATAACCATCTATAATCATAGTAAATTTCATCAAAATATGTCTAGTGGTTTTTTCGTGGTCACACACAGAGACAGATGGACAAAATTCTATAGACTATAGATTCTCTCTCTGTTCGATAATAATGTCTATTTTAAGAAAAATTTCCATTAAATATTTCATGTACATATTCGCCTTAGAATTTTATTATATTTATAAATACCATAAAATATGTAAATAAATGAATTGTTTTCAGAGTTGCACGCAGCGGCTAAAGAAACGGTGACGCTCGCGGAGCAACGCTTCGTCAGTAAGCAAGATGAGTGGCAGTTCGATAGCAACTGGCAGGAGGTGCTCAATCATGCTATCATCAAGGTGAAATTATTTTACTTATTAATTATGAAATACTAGTGACTCACCCTAGCTTCGCTCGGGTGCGATTATAGATGGTTTTTGTATATGTAATATAACATAGAGGAGCCATCTGTTTGCAAAAATTACTAACAATAACAGTAGCTTATGTGTTCCCGCAGGCTAGTTTATTTGTATTAAACTAGCGATTCACCCAAGCTTCGGTCGGGTTCGGCCCTAGGTACGTTTTAACGGTTAGTATGGAATAGGTAGACTGTGATATTATATATATATATATATATATACACATACATAGGTATCATGATTTGTCGGGTTGTATTATAGTGTGTTTTCCCGTAGGAATGAGATAATCTCCCGCGGTAATATGTAGCCTATGTCACTCTCCAGCCCTCCGGCCTCCAATTATCTCCAAATAAAAAAATCACGCCAATCCTTCTCTGTGTTTCGACGTAAGAGAAGGACAAACTTCACATTTATAATATTAGTATGGATTTTAGCAAAATCAAAAATAAGAGAGTAATATGATTAAGAATTGTGTATATCCACAGTAAAAAGTCAACTTTATAAAGGATAAAATTTTATTGGTGAACTATTATAGAATTCAGTACAAACATATCATGTTTTGTTTTTAAGGTTATGGACGCCGAGAAGCGTAAAGCGGAGAGTGGCCGCGAGCATCAAAAGAAGGCGGCCGCGTACATCGCAGCCGAGCGTAAGGTAAATAATATATATAATTTATACCATCGTAATACATAATACGTATACATATTAAAAATCTATACATATAATAAAATTGTAACTAAGCCGAATCTGTACATTAAATATTTACATAAATGGAAAATCTTATATAAATAAACTTTATTATCGATACAGAGGCGGAATCTATAGTTTTTAGAATTTTTGTCTGTCTTTCTGTTACCGCATCACAGAAAAACCACTGGAGGGATTTTGATGAAATTTGGTAGGGTGATAGCTGATTATCCGGGTCAACATATAGTATACTTTTTACCGCGGGAAAATATCTCTTTTCTGAGCAAAAATACAAAAACTGCAATGTAAGAGTATACTAATATGTAAAACTTAAGAATTTGGTTTTTGGTCATCTGAACGCGGAGCCGCGGGCAATGCTTGTTTTATACAACTATTAAACTTTTCTCGTTTTTTTTGCGGTTTTATTATATGTTTTGGTTCCCGACGTTTTGAATACTTAACAACAAGGATGTTGTATATATCACGGGAGAAGCTGATGTTTTTGACGTCTCACTAGTCATAGCTATTAACGATATACCCACAAAAAATTAAATAATTTGTATAAAAAGACCAATGGTACCGAAATACTAACTAATTTCAACTACAAAAAATTGTAGCTTTTTTATCAAAAAGTAAAATTAAACTGTGGAAAAAAACCCAAAAATATAGTTTATAATAATGTCAAATATTCGCGTAAATCTAAGACAGTATTATAATAAAAATATATAAAAATTCCAGGTTACTCAGCTCGAAGAAAATCTGAAGCGAAATATCATCAAGTCAAGGATATATTTCGACGAGAAGAAATTATGTGATGAGCAGTTGCAAGCACAAAATGAGAAAATTGAAAAATTACAACGTCTCATAGCTGACGCTAAGTTTAGATATTCTAAGTCTTTGAAGGCCTTAGAAGAGATATCGGAGGAGATACATAGGCGTAGAGGGGAGTACCTGCCCGATAAAGATACTATACCAGTCGGACCCAGAGAACCTGGTGTGGGCGCTGAAAGAGATCCAGTTCATGATGAAAATGATACCAATGATGAAGACTCCAGTCTTCAAGAACTTAGAATGCGTGTGAGAGAATTAGCACTCAAACCCATAGATAGAAACGACGTAGAAACAGACGAGGCGTGGGCGCAGGAATTGAATGAAACAATAAACAAGCTCGACCAACTGCTAATGATGAAGGAAACCAACCAGCAGAAGAAGTCCAAATTTACCAACAATTCGCCCAAAAACTCCAGCGCCCCAACAACTAGCACCAACACTGGAAAATATAGGGATACAAATCTGTCCCGTACTAAATCTATAAGTCGTGAAGTTATATATGAAAACACAAACCCACCTATCGCAAAGTCGGATAAGTCAAAGAGTATGATGTCGTTAGATGTGCTAGCTTTGGCAAGAGATGCAACTATAATGGATAGGGAGTCGTATCTGAAAGCTGTTATTGAAGATAAATCGCCAACAGGGACCTACACTGAGAGCAATTCTGATAGAAATGAGAGTCCAGATGATATTTTAATGGTAGAATGCGACTCGAGTGACTCGAACCAAAACCCAGTCATAAGGATGACAAGTTCTACAATCACTGATAGCGATAATAGTTAATTTTTTTAGGTTTTATCAATCGTTGGATTTGATTGTTTTTGATGTTAGATTTGATTAAAAAAAATGGAAAATTTTAATAAAAATAATGAGATTTTTTTTCGAATTTCTTATCGAATATTAGACGTGGTTGTGTAAGTTTTGTGGTTAGTTAGTTAGTATATAATATGTCGCACTTATATATTAATGAATATATATTATATACAGGGTGATCGTATGTGATGGGGTTGCGCCTAAATTCAATTTTTTTTAAATATAAATAAATATTTATTTTATGTCAGTGGATTTTTAAATATTTTTTTGTTTTTCGTATTAACTTGAAATATTTAAGCTAAAATATTGCATGGAAATAGTTATTAAAGAAATCGAAATTGGAAGAAATAATTAGTAAATTGAATGTCTGGCATTTACCTTTTATCATCTTTGAGTCCTCATCAGACATCTTATTTATAAAACGCGTACTTACAAAATCTGTATTTTAAATGAAACTATCTTTTCGGATTTTTATATACTTGGGTAGGCACTGTCTGTAACAACTATATAATGATCTTAGAGACATCTAACACCTCAGTCTCTCCCATGACCATGATTGCTGTAAAGCATTCGAAACGTCGGGAACAAAAATCAAAATAAATCCGCGAAAAAGTCCGAAAACATAGATTTATTTAAAATGTCAAATATTCGCGTAAATCTAAGAAAATATTATACAAAATATGTATTTTAATTTCTTATTATTTAGTGTACTTAAATATGATTATCGATATCCATACCTATAACTTACTATTTCTATTTCAATTAACAACTGCCATATTTTTTCCACCGAATTGCAAATAATTCTCTTTTATTCAATTTAACAAATATGCAAATATTTATTAAATTTTGTCGATCAAAAAAGTACTAGATACACAATCCCATGCAAAAGTTCTCTTAAAACTGTCACCAATTGTGTTTACGTAATTATACTAGTTGAAATATATATATAACAATGTAAATTGAACCTTAAATGCAGGGCTTAAGGTGGTTTTCACAAAAAAATAATTAAAAGCATTCATATGAGCGCTCATTCATAAGTACATTTTTAGCGCTGATTGTATATCTATTACTTTTTTGATCGATGTTAAATATTAATTTATTTAATGCAAATTAAATAATTTGGTTTTATATTTTAAGGGCAAATGTGAAGGTTTACAAGTCACATAGACACTTAATTATAAAGACGGGGCACTTATAGCAAGTTTTTTTTTTGTTAAAGACATTTGGTTGGTAAATGTACGGAAAGCCCTTATGGTTAAATATTTATTTTTAAAGCACATATTGAGTATTTTGTACTTACTTTTTTGGTATATACTCAATTTGCTGAAGACTTATAAGCTGTATTCTTATACATGTTTAAAATTATACATATAATATAAATTTAATAGTTTTTTTTTATTTTGTGTAATCTGTTTTAATAAAATAAAAGTTTTTTTTTTAGTTATTTCGATACAGAAATTTCAAGCATATGTAAAACATCCATCATCCAAGGAGTTGGAACTGTGAAATAAGAATATAGGGACTCTTCACTAATAAATCCATACAATGTGTTTGTCTTTCAAAAATAGAAAATAATATGATTGTCTTGAAAATGTACTTAGAAATACTAAATAAATCTTAACTAATGCTTTAAATCCATAACGATTAATCGAAAACTCATTTACCATTAAATTACAATAATCTTTTAAAGGTTGACTAAAAACATATAAATAGTTGTAGTATTTACGTTGGAATTATATATGTATTGTAATAATTACATCAGATATTTAGATATACAACAAACTAAACAGAAATAATGGTACAGAAGATGTATAATTTGTATTATATTTGTTTGTACTCTTATATCGACACCTGCAAAGAATAACATTGTAACTTAAGTGTTGTAGCCATCGATCAAAAAAGTAATAGATACACAATCCCATGCAAAAGTTCTCTTTAAACTGTCACCAATTGTGTTTAGGCAATTATTCTAGTTGGAATATTTATTTCATACAACAATGTAAATTAAACCTTAAATTCAATGCTTAAAGTAGTTTTTACAAATAATAATAAAAGCGTGCTCAAATGTTCAAATGAGCGCTTATTCGGTGAGGACATATTTTTTTGTCGCTTATTTTATATCTTGTTTTTTTTTGATGGTTTGTAGCAACTTTTAATTCGGACTTTAAACATATGAAAGATTAATTTCATTTTTTTTAATTAACTTTATATTGAGTTGCAATGTTATTCTTTGCAGGTATCGAAATGGTACACAGTGAATTTCTTGTTGTCGTTAAGAAAAAATGCTAAATTTGAATATCAGCCATCCAGCATACGAAAAAGATTAAGCTATATCAAATACCTAAAATAAATTAATAATATGTAGTAATAAAAATATAATTATGGACCAAAAATTAAAAAAAATACTGTATCTCGACAATGGCTACTTACCGGGATCAGCTATAGCTAAAAAACATCGGAATAACCCCATGAGTGCAAACAAATTATCAAAATCGGTCAAGCTGTTTAGGCGGAGAAAAATTATGAACACAATTTTATATATTAAAATTTGTCGTCACTTCAAAGAAAACTATATATATATATATATATATATCTGGATGGCCTTTGCAATTCTATTTACATACTTTTAATAAATTCAAGAAGTATTTATTTAAGTATCATATTTTTATGTGAAAAAATATTGTATAATTTTTATTAGTATTAGCTTATTAGTTATATAAAGATAATAGAAAATATATATGAAAACTGGGATTAAATATAAATTGTGATTGTATTTAGATGAAATATCTATAAAATTAGACAAAATATTGATTATACAGGGTCATTTTTAATTTACTGAAAACCTTTTGCGAATATACTATTTACATAATAACAACATCTGTGAGAAAAAAAATATTTGTTTAATTTTACAAAAATAAAAATATTTTTATTGCACCTTCTAAACGATAAGTCTAGCATTAGCAAAAGAAAGCGCGTGGCCGGTGGATTGGGAGGGGTGGAAGGGTGTAGTAGGTGGTGCTTACTCATTTAAGCTTGACCAGATGCCGTTTAGAAGGTGCAGTAAAAATATTTTTATTTTTGTATTGAAATAAAAATTTAAGAAAAATTATTATTTTTTCTTACAGATGTTGTTGTTATGATGTAAATAGTATATTCCCAAAAGGTTTTCAGTAAATCAAAAATGACCCTGTATATTATAAATAAACACTTCAAAATTATATACATATAAGTATTAAAGTAAGTTCAAGGCGTTTCACGTTTTACTGCCGTATTTCTAGTAGGACTAGGATCTTAAGTTTTTTTTTAATCAATCAAGTTTTATTATCAAAGGCTATATAATATTTAGTTCTGAGACTGACCTCGTTAATATTTGTTGGCAAAATGATTACAACAAAACAAACAAACCTATTTTGTATGCCCTTTGTTTTTTTTTAAATCTTATACTTTTAATTAAAATGATAGGAAAAATTAGTAAAATGTAGTATTTTAAAAAATAAAATTTCACTAAAGAAACCCTCACTGAGTTGTAAAATTATGCCCTAAGCATTATCCTATCCATTGCACCATCTTTTTACTGTTTAAAGCACAAATACGAGCATGTTACTCCACTCTTCACTATTTCCCGATTAATAAAGGTTTTTAAATCAAAAAAATATATATGTTTCATTCCTAAAATACACCCTTAAATTAGTGTATGTATTCAGCCCTTTTTGAAGTCCCACTGTTCGACACGGGCCTTCCTTCAATACGAGGAGGATCAGGCCATAGTCCACCACGCTGACCACGTGCGGGTTGGCGGACTTCACATGTCTTTCGAAAATTTGTTACGTTATCTCAGACATGCAGGTTTCCTCACGATGTTTTCCTTCACCATTAAGACAAGTGGTAATCATGTTGGAAAAGATTCGTACATGACAATATCAGAGGTGCGAGACCCGGGATTTGAACCCACTTCACTCGGTTTCCCAAGCGAGCGCGTTACCAAAATTAGTGTGGATGATAGAAATATTTTGGATGTAACATAATATATCACCTGAAAGAGATCTAAAGGGAGTAAACACGACGAATTTAACTATGATATAAATTTTTAAATCTATAGTAAAAAAGATCTTTTATCTACGAGTATATCTAAAATACATTTGTTTATGCCCTTATGTATGGAAAGATGTTATATATAACTTTAATAAAATATCTATATTTTATACAAAACTATAATTATTTTTTGATAATTTAATGCGTTGTAGACGCGTTTTCGACGTGTAAGCGTTTATAAAACGTAGTGTGTAAAACCCCTAAGTCAGTTGCTATACCTCTGTGACTTCAAATAATATAATACATACAATTAAATTAGCATACAAAATAATTAAATTCAAATATTATGTATAAGCTATCACAAAATGTTTGTAGATCAACTATTCTCTTTGCTTGCCTCTAACTAAACACCCTACAGATTTTTTTAAAAACCCCAACCACTTCTAGATTCATTATATTAACTGAGGGTGAACTAGATGTGGAATTGTTAATACTAATAAGCTAAGATTTTCGCATATATGTCTCTATTACTTAAACCAACACTATCAACTCAACTTAAGAACAAGGTCAAAAGAAAAATTTAATATGTATTGTAAATGCGATAAGTTGTATGTATCTTTGTTACTTCACGCCCATACATTAGTAATAAAATTTGCCAAAAGGTGGCGCTGACTATATCTATACCACAGATCATATAATACTATACTAGTTCTATACATATAATAAAATTGTAACTAAGCCGAATCTGTACATTAGATATCTTTTGGAAAATCTTATTGAAATAAACATTATTATCGATACAGAGGCTGAATCTATAGTTTTTAGGATTTTTGTCTGTCTGTTACCGCATCACAGAAAAACTACTGGAGGAATTTTGATGAAATTTGGTATGGTGATAGCTGGTTATCCGGGTCAACATATAGGATACTTTTTACCGCGGCAAAATATCTCATTTCTGAGAAAAAAATACAAAAACTAATGTTAATGATATATACTAACATGTTAAACCTAAGAAATCGGTTTTTGGTCATCTGAACGCGGGCGGAGCCGCGGGCAGCGCTAGTGTAATAATAATAATATAAAAGGGAGAGATGTTTGTTATTCAATCACGCCAGAACGGCTGAACGGATCTGGACGAAATTTGGCACAGAGATAGATTATAGGTTACTTTTTATACCGAAAAAATGTAAATAAAACAACGTATAATTTTTTACATTTATTATAAATTAAGAAGTCAATGGATCCACTGACCAATATAACAATTCAATTAATAATACACAGAAGAAGGCACTTTCGAGCGATAAAGTCTAAGATGATACAATCATTTTCTATATACTATAGAGAAGTGTAAATATTTATTCTCATAATTTCAATTATCATATAGATTACATACTGGAATATTATTAAAATCATTCGATATAGAAATATTGTCTAATATATAATAAAAATTAAAAAGAGATTTTTTTTTAATAAAGATTTTTTTAATTTTTTTAATTTAAGAGATTTTTTTTCTAAAAAAAAAAAAATAATTTCATCGATTACAAATCAACAACTTCTAGTTATTCATAAAAACAACTGGTCCACTGAAAATGCAGCTCACTCCGAAGTCTATTCTACAGTTGAAATATTTCTTTTTAAATGAAAGCAATGAAAAAAAAAATTATCTTATACACTTATGGGTCGATTTTTATCACAAAATTCACAAAATAATATAAAAATTGATAATAATTTAGAAACAAAATACGCTGTCTATAATAAATATGTACGGATTAAGAATCCTATTTTTTAATTCTTTAAAAACAAATAGCAAATTTCAGCGGACCCACAACATAAATAAACACGTTACACCTAAATGTTATTATTTATATTTGGCTGTTTTGCATTAGAATTTACATTAAAATCATAATTTACAATATTTTCCACATATCGAGTTTTACATTCAAAAACTAAGTTTTTAATCTATGGTAAAAAAAGATCTATTATCTATATCTAAAATTTAAAACATTTATGTTTGTACCCTGTGTATGGAAAGATGTTATGTATAATTTCAATGAAATATCTATATTTGATACAAAACTATAATTATTTTAATTAATTTTAATATAATCATATATTAAAAATTTTAAAAATAAAAATGCAATGGGATGAAGTAAATATAAAAATGCTTTAAGTAATACCTGATGGAGTTTTGTTAAAAGGGCTTTCAATAAACGGAATAGAAAACTCAAATACTAAATACAAACATCTAATTCTTACCATTCAATCATCTTTTATACTTTTTCTGGCCAAAAAAGCGCTCAATGGCCAAAGCTCTTAACAAAACGAACTGTAAAATAAATGCTACAATATTATCTAAATAATATACTTACTTATAACACATCGATCAAAAAAGTACTAAATACACGATCAGCGACCAAAAATGTCCTCATCGAATGAGCGCTCATTTGAACATTTGACTGCGCTTTTAAATAATTCATTTTTTCGTGAAAACAACTTTAAACATTGCACTTAAGAGTCAATTTACATTGTTGCATATTGATTTCAACTAGAATAATTACCTAAACACAATTTGGTGATAGTTTCAAGACAACTTTTGCATATGATTGTGTATCTAGTACTTTTTTGATCGATGATATGACATGGATAATCTGTAATAATTTTAGTTTGAAGATATTTTTTACATTAAAAATGTTTTTTTTTTATTTCTAATAGTAACACGTCACGTAAGTTGACACTAAATGGCAGAGGTTGTATATCTACGTAATTATTAATTTGATATTATATACACCACTATTGGATTATGTACGTTTAAACATGTTACTTTGCGAACTCCATTTCCTACAAAAATTCTTTTAAAATTCCCTTTAAAACGACAAAATCTAGTTTAAAATTTATTTTGTTGTTTTAACAATTACTCCATCGTTACCTTACAACGAAATGTCGTACGTGTGTTATTCATTAGGTAAATTACAATTCTAATTTTCTTGTTAATTGGCTTCAAAGCGTGCCAGTTGAGCACAGATTGCTTCGCCAATGTCACGTAGAAATAAATTATGTTTGCTTATTTTGTGACAATTAATCAAATATTAATTTAATTAATTATAAGCAACTATCACTGCATAATAAAAGCCAGTAGATATTTATCAACATATTCACATTCTTATTGGTCAAATAAGAAAAATCGACCAGAGAATCGAATTCGCGACCTAACTCTAAAAAGGCCAAAGTTTAGAATAAAGCACTTTTTGTCTAATAAAATAGGAAGTCACAAGGTGTATTTGTTTGTATATAGGAATAGTTTTTCTTAAATAATTCTTTATTAGCAAAACTAGCCAAGGTCTAGAAGGTCCATAACACAGCCTTACATTAAAACTTTAAAAGCAGGAACGGCAAACACCTTGAGTATTAATGAGCGTAGTGGGGAAAACTCCACTTAATACATTGTAGGAAAAAATATTAATATTTGATATAGTGTACACAGTGTAGTTATCTATACAGACGTCTAACGTATAACGCGGCCGTAGGTATAGCAATCGTGCGGGGTGTCGCACCCGACAGTCTTACGTACTTTTGTATGTCAGTCGGGATAAGATTTTAGGGTTGAAGAGCCATAAAAATCGATTTTTTTATACCCATGCATTTAAGGAGATTTCCTTAAGAAATTTATATTTAATGGGTAACCATTCGCCATAAAAATCGATTTTTTACAACCATTGAATTTGGGGAAATTTCCTTAAGATCAAATACGATTACCAAATATATGTCAAAAGACATTATTTTAGGTTATAAAGTGGTTTAGGGCAATTTAAAAAAAAAAACAGAAAAAGTATCAAACAGTCAATAAATATAATATTATTTAACCTAATAAATATCACCAACTGTCGTCATCTAAGCCGCTGTAAAATTTTCGCGGTACAACGTAATAATAATAATAAAAACGCGCATTAACGCAGTAACCTCGACCCTGTAAAGAGACCTATTAATCTATAAAATTTGCACAATCAAGATGTTTGCCGATCAAGACACTAACTAGAAATTAACATTAAAATAACATTGTAAAGTGAAAATTTAGATTTTCTTTCTATAACTTACATAAAGGATATCTTGACATTTATTATAAACCATTGTTTACATTCCACAAAATAAGTGTACGGACTCAGTACCGCCATCATGAAAATTTTCCTATTGACCTAAATCCGCTAGTTAATATAAAACATATGTATATAAATAGAAATTTGCACTAAATTTGTTATTAATTAAAACTTTTGTCTAAGGTAACGTATTCATTATATGTAGAAAGGTACTCTTAAATAAAAATATGTTCGACCAATTCCGGCCACGGCGGGCAATCTCATTGAGACTAGCCAACTGTGCAGGAGATATTATAGTGCAGCGCGTGTACGCGCAGACACAACGTGCACTCTATATTCCTGTCACTCTCGTACTCCGGTGGGACGACACGAGACACGACCGGTGAGAGTTAAGGCGCAGAACCGACGGCTTTAGGATTGAAACACCGCCAACTTCCCAACTCCGGACTGTTACTGAGGCTTACTATACAGAAAGACTCAATAACTAAACTTGGCCCGATTAAGGACTCGAACCCAGGACCTTCCGGATGTGTCGTACATGCTAGCCACTACACTACCGAGGCAGTAAACTCTTAAATAATGTATCTGTTAAAAAAACGTCGGTAGGTATCGCGAGACACCCAGTTGAAATGAAGTTACTTTCGCTGTCTGCTCTTGGATCATAAATTAATTCTTTAGAATTATATCATAAGCATCAGATATGTATGTACATTGTACATGTTGAAACTGGTGAAATTTTGCCTCAATAATCGCCTAGTACTTTTGTCACAAGTATTAGGGGACCACAAACTTATATATGAACTACTTACTACATACACTCCTTAACACTTATGATCGCCTGATACTCGTGATGACTTCACATGGAATGAGCGATCATAGCAAATAACTCCTCAATTTTTGGAAGTCCGTTAAAAAGTGTCGTAACGTTAAAAATATTACACTATTTTCCGTCTAGCTCTCAATCGCCACGTATGCCTATGATAAGGAACTTCATTCCATAATTGTGTTTTTGTGAACTTAGTTTAACATGAATATTGTATACAAATGCATATAAAAAAAAGAATTGAAATATTCTTTCTAGAAAATTAGAAAGAGATAATTTCAAAAAAAATCATCACTTTGTCTCGCTCACACTTTTCTATCATACTGACTCCATACCTCTGTCTATATATTCGATACGCAATTGCGGATAACAAGTAAATATTCCAAGTACTATGCCAGCGTAAGTGGATAAGAAAAAAACTTTAAAAAAATATATCAAACTAAAGAAAAACTATATATATAATCTTATACAAAAAAAATAAAATAAATACCGTTGGTACGAATATTACAAAAGAAATAATAATAATATTGAATTAAAATTATCTAAATTGAGCTCAAAGATAAGACCAAATAAGGTCGTATTTTGAAACTCTATCGTTTCCAGATTGTAGCAGAGGTAAAGAGCAAACTATATTGTATATACATATACTTTTAAATATATTCTTGTCAATTTTTCGCTTTTCGATCTATAAAATACAATTTATTTTGTATACTTTATATTATATACACATTGCTTACAATTTAGAGGAAGGTACGACATCGCGCCACCACGGCGTCCTTTCGAAAACGCCGGGCTGACTAAAGAACGCCTTTTGGAGATTCTGATACAACTGGAAAAGCAAAAAATAAGAAAACATATATTTATGTTATTCATATACTATATTATCTTTATGTTAAAGAATATGGACAAAGCTCTGATCATAATTACATATTAAAAAAAAATACAGCATTGATTCAATCTCCTACAAAATGCAATAAAAAGTTGTTTGTTCGTATATCTGGAACATTGCACTCACAATTTTATATATGTTAAAATTTGTAAGCAAGATTCTCATTAAATTTGGAATGGAGTTAGCTTATAAACTGCATTAACAAATAAGCGAAACGAAGCGAGCGGAACCATGGACAAAAACTAGTACATAGTCCTATCAGTGAATCGACCAATCAAAACGAACCGAAGCTTCCCACTGCATCCTGGTATTGCTAGTATTAACAATCTAACTAGGATAATTACAATATCACTGAATATGCTTAGTGAAATTATAAGATACCTAACATTGTCCCTTGATATTTGTAAGAAAAGAAAACAATTGACAAAACTCCGGGTAAATTGTACAATTTCCCTGCGACATATCTACTAAATAATAATCAAATTCAACTAACCTTGCCATCGCTTCTGCCCAACACAGAATTCAACACAAAGTCAGTGGGCGCGAGTGCATCCACCACACTCACTACATCATCCTTCACATCTGCACATAACTCCAGGACCGAGTCTCTAACCAATCGGGCCATATCCCCTCCCTTTGCGAAACCCCCTTGGTATAACTCAACCAAATTATCATCCAAGGACCACAGCCCATATAAACAGAACAGCTTCATCAAAACTGGCTGGAGTTCTTTCTCTTTCTTCTCTATAGATTCTAAGCAGAATATCAACGATAAGTATTCAGCGTACACTTTGGTTAGGTTTCTCCATCTGTAGACTTGGGCTTTGTTCCTGGCTTGCACTTTGGTTAGGCCTTTCGATAGGTTTTCTTCGTTTTTCTCATGTGTGTATTTTAACAGCCAGCATATAAGCCATTTGTATGTGGATATTATAACTGTTGGGACAAAAATGATCTTAATAAAACGTATGAAATAAATAAATAAATAAATATGTTGGGACATTAACACACATCACTATCTAGTTCCATGGTAAGCTACGAGGCTCGTGTTATGGATACCAGATAGTTGATACACTACACATATATAACTCTAAATACATACATATTATAAATATGACTGGAGTACAGACATTTGTGCTCATCACACAAATGAATGACCCCAGCGGGACTCGAACCCGCGACCGCTGGCACAGCAAGTAGGTTCACTATAAACTGAGCCAAACGTGTCGTCATAATAAATATTTTTCATTGCGATTGTACAGTCTGTACGATTAAATTAAACAAATCAACAGTTACAGAAAACTGTATAAGACACCCCACACAAATTCTGTTAAGCCTGTGTAATTCTACTACTTTTTCTTTGTTTTCGCTAGAAAACCCATCATTCTACTATCTTTACTAGCTATACATGCAAAACTTAACAGGAAATTACTAATGTGTATGTCGACATTTTTTTTTAATTTCTATTATAAACCATTACAATAAAAAGGGTGTAAAATTGTACCTATCACATTTAAAAATAAGGCGCTTCATTTAAGTTCATTTTGAATCAATATGCACATCGTATGTATAATATTTACTCATTGAAATATTAAGTTTATAATCGCATTTTTTTGTGACTGCAAATTAACATGTTCGGATTTTGCCTTTACCTGTGCAATTATATATTCTTTTATATTTAGATATTACTTCTTGCCAAATTCCATAGTTCTAGGTCAACGGGAAGTGCAGACTTTACTTTGTGTTTGATATTAATTTCAACATACCTAGAGGCATTTCTGAGAAAAAGTGTTTTGACAGACAGACAGACAAAAAACAAAGTGATCCTATGACGGTTCCCTTTTCCTTATGAAATACGGAACCCTTAAAACGACTCATTTTGTATACATTAACTAATCCAAACTTACATTGAGGGTTCTTCAGTTCATTCGTACTCGAACAATTGAAAGTCTTTTCTTTTATCGCCCTATAATCTTTGAGGAAGGCAACAGTGCCCAGCGGTGAGTCCACGATGTTATCCGAGAGGGCAGCCTCGTACTGCCGCAACAGCCAGTTGCCGGCCTGCTGTGAGAGCACGTTGTTATCCCCCTCATATGTCACTGTTGGTTCGTGGTTGCTTCTTATATCACCAAGGTTTGAACACTGGAAGATGTTTGAGACGTGGTCAGTTAATGTGTTTATTGGATGAAGGTAAATGAAATTAACTAAATTATTTTTTATACGATGTCTATTTATCATTGGTGTGATTAAACAGAGTTCAATGAACTACGAGTATATTATTTAAACAACGTAAGAAAAGAAAGAATACACATTTCACACAGATAATGCCGCGGTTAAATACTCATCACAATACTATTATAATTGCGAAAAGTTTTTATATTCGTTATTCCTTCGCGTTGATGAAATAAAAAAACCTTAAATACTTTTACAATATATTCAAACAAGAAAAGATCCCAATACAGAAAACTTAACATAATGAGAAAAATAGGCTAATAAACACTAAAACCATTTTACAAAAGTTAACTTCATATAGACCCCACCTTCAAATAGCCATGTCCGCCGCACGCCTCACGACACTGCTGCGCAGCTCGCAACGTACTCCAAGTCAGCAACGGCTTGCTGCTCGACACCATCGCGTGGATCTCTGATACTGCTTCACTCTAGAAAAGAAATTACTGTTAATATTAGCAGATCTAAGGGATTATAATATAAAACGTGAGTGGTAGCTTATAGTATAATGGGACGGATCAGATACGACCGATGGGAGATCAGACGTAGGACCGACACGACTGACTCTCTGAGGTATGATGATCAAAACATCGCGCTCGTGAAGATTAAATATAAACATTATTTCTGCATTCTGGCATATTATATACACTATGTTATGGCATGGTTCATTTAAAAAAAAAAGCTAAACTGTGAAATATACGAATAAAATGTTATAACTCACCAAGTTATCTACTCTGTGGCCAGAATTTGATTTCTCAACAATATTTAAATACGTGACAGTGAATTTCTCTATATACAGGCGGAACACCACCGCCGCCGACACATAGCCGAATAGGCGCCATTGCTGGAAAATATAAAAATATTATATACACAATAAATTATATATTTATAAGTAAATAGTATATACAGTGTTACTTTTCTTTAAATACTTTAGAGAAACAATATATCCAATAGGGACACGTCATACACCCATTCAATGTTACATAACTCATCAAATATGATGATGATATTGTCCCGACCAATTTCGCCCACGGCGACCAATCTCACGGAGACTAACCAACTGCAGGAGAAATTATAGTACATAGCGTGTTCGCGCAGACACAACGTGCACTCTCTATTCCTATCACTCTCAAATTCCGATGGGACGACATTTAACATTCGCAATGAGATCTCAGAATCAACGGTTTTACGTGCTATAAGGCACAGATAGTGTAACTTAACTATCTTCCCAACTCTGTGCTGTTAGTGAGAAAAACTCAATAATTAACTCGGCCCGACCTGGGACTCGAACCTCAGAATCTTCTACAAGTAACCTAACCAGGCAGTTTTGCCTTTACTACTTATATAATAAATAATAATAATAAATATGTCAGGACATTAACACACAACACCATCTAGTTCCATGGTAAGCTACGAGGCTTGTGTTATGGATACCAGATAGTTGATAAATTATACATAATATATAATTTTAAATACATACATATTATAAATAAACACCCATGACTGGAATACAAACATTCATGCTCATCACAGAAATGAAGACCCCCAGCGGGACTCGAACCGGCGACCGTTGGCACAGCAAGTAGGGTCACTACAAACTGAGCCAAACGTGTCGTCTAGTATAGAAAAAGCTATAATTGAATATAACCAACTAACGTGCAGCTCGTACTCGATGAGCGGCGTCTCGCGGTCGCGCTCGCCGAACTGCGTGCGCGTCGCCGCGTAGCGCACCGCCACGCTCACCGCGCTCGCCAGCGAGTGGCAGCTCTCTTGCATTATACCGATGCGACCTGGGACATTGTTATGTTAGAATACGTTATTATTTATCTATACATATAATAAAATTGTAACTAAGCCGAATCTGTACATTAGATATTTTTTGGAAAATCTTATTGAAATAGACATTATTATCGATACGGAGGCCGAATCTACGGATTTTAGAATTTTTGTCTGTCTGTCTGTCTGTTACCGCATCACAGAAAAACCACTGGAGGGATTTTGATAAAATTTGGTATGGTGATAGCTGGTTATCCGAATCAACATATAGGATACTTTTTACCGCGGGAAAATATCTCATTTCTGAGAAAAAATACAAAAACTGCAATGTAAGAGTCTACTAATATGTAAAACCTAATTTGGCCATCTGAACGCGGGCGAAGCTGCGGGCAATGCTAGTTTGTTTAATAATTTTAATTATAGTATTAATTAGGATAGTTCGTTTTATTTAGTTTAATTTAGAAACTTAAACTACTGTAGTTTGTTTTTTTGTTGCTATGAGCAAGATAAGATAGATTAGCGCAATCTTTGAAACTAGCAGTCGGTTTTCAAAAATCTTTTTTTGCATTTGATAGCATCATTCTTGAGGAAGGTATAGGCTATGAAACATCACGTTACGACTTTTAGGATCGAAAGAGTTATAAACGAGTATATACATAATAAAGAATCGTTGACAATTCATTTAGGTGAATATTAGTATTTTAAGTTTCACCTAAATAGTTGAGTTTGTAATAAAATTGTGGAATTTCTAAAAAAATAACTAAATAAAACATTTACCACCTTTTAGTAGTATTTCTTGAAATTTATATAGTGGTCAGTACTTGAAGTACATATTTTATCAGGTAATTAAAAAAGACACTAATACAAAAATATTCACTCGAATTGAGTACCTCCACATACCTACTACAATTTACAAAGATTCAAATGGATAAGACAATTGAAAATTGGAAAAATCTAGTTTCAGATGTATTTCATCTTAATTAATCTTCTCACTAAAGGTATTCTTTTAGCAATAAGACCGCCTTTGCATGCTTAAAATTTACTTTATCTAACAATACCTTTACTTTCCGTCCTTATCTCGTATGTGCAATAAAGATTAACAAATAAATAAAAAAAAACCCCACCGGCTGATAAATTTTCCAAAGCGGCACCCAATATCCTTGAGGGCTCTGAGAACGAACTTTCGTATGTGCCATCTTCTGTGACGTCAGCGGTTCTGTTGAGAAGGTTCTCACGTGGTATTCTATACTGGTTGAACATAATGAATCTGAAACAAATATTTAATAATATAATATTTTTATTCATATTTTCATTAATTTATTGATAAAATAAGAAGTTTTTGTCTAACTAATGTCCAAGATCTAAAAACAATTTATGCGATTTTGGTAAAAAAACCTGATAAAGAAGACGAAGTTAAATTAAAATATGTTTAAAAACAACTATAAAATTAGAAAAAACTAGAGAATTCTTATATATAAACAGCACCAGTGTGCTAATTTTAGAGAAAAAAAACTATACAAAAACAGGTTAACCTAGTAAAGGTGGGTTCCAAATTGTATTGTGTCCATGATCATTTTGTAACTTTGTAAAAAATTTCAATAAAAATGATTATTATAATAAATGGTGGTCAGGACTCAGATGAAAAAAAACAATGGCGATCATTTCCATATCTGTTGTTGGAAGTTAGCTAACGAAGATAAAACCCGCAATAAATTATTGCTATTTTTGCATGATGTGCATGCTTAAAAAAACTTTTATTTATCTAATAAAGTATTAAGTATTATATAAAATATACATAATATAAACATAATATAACATAATAAATATACATTTTTATATAATTAAGTATTATATAAAAATGTTGAATTTTTATTGTAAACGATATATTCGAATAATTTCAGAATTATGTACGTAATTCAGAGTATTTTTATAAAAAAAACGTGTGTGTGTACGTAGGTGACTACATAAGTTTTGTCGTACGTAAAATATATGTAAGGTATTGTTCAGATAAGGATAGATTCGTAAAGGCAAACTAATATAAACAATAATAGTACAAGTTTTGTGACGTACAGTAGCTTTGCAAATTTCGGTCGATCTAAGTACGTCAATTCAATCTTTATATGTGACGAAACTTGGCTTTACTGTTTTGATGTCCCAACTAAATCTCAGAGTAAAGTGTGGGTGTTTCATGATGAAGATCCGCCGACATCCGTCAAAATGTCTCGATCAGTTAAAAAAAGAATAGTAGCAGTATTTTTCTCAAAACGCGGAAAATTACCCACAATCTAGCTTTATAAACAGAAGACTGTTACTGCGAAATGGTACACAGAAGAATGTTTGCCTCGAGTTTTAGAAGCGTTGAAAAACGAGCGACCAAACTCAAGACTCAACACTTGGTTTTTACATCAGGACAACGCTCCCGCACGTCAGGCTGGCAAAACTGAAGATTATTTGCGTGAAGCTGGAGTGAAACTCATCCTCCTTACAGCCCAGACTTAGCGCCATGTGATTTTGCGCTTTTTCCTTATGTGAAAAAACAATTAAAAGGGCGTAAGTTCTCTAATGATGGAGAGCTTATAGGCGCATTTAAAGAGATATGCGGTAGTATTCCAAATGGTTTCTAGAGCGAAGTATTTATTACATGGTTCGAACGTAAGAGAGCATATATTAGTGCTAATGGAAATAATTTTGAAAAAAATAAATAAATAAGTACGACAAAACTTATGTAGTGACCTAGTACTTATGTACGCACGTAAGAAGTTATACTTCTTTGGCGTAACAGAACAAAAACAGCTAAAGATTTCATCTCGCATGTCACAACTCTCTGTTTGCAAAAGAAATGCAGCTGACTTCATCATGTAGCTTTCAGCTAACTTCATCAACTCGCTTTATGGCTGTGTAAATATTTGACTCTTATATTTTTTTCAAACGTGCCAAAAGAAGTATAACTAAAAAAATTGTTTACTGTTTATTGTCATTTAACTTAACTCGAATAAATATAAATAAAAGGCTGAATTTTGCCATTTTCAGATGATTTTGATGATATCTCTTCGGTTTTAGTTAAGCAATACAGGATTATCGTTTTCGATAACAATATCGATTGTAGAAATTGAATTTGTCTAAGGCTTAGTTTAGGATAAGATTATAGATAATAATTATAGAACACTTACAGAGCTCGTTCGCAAATGTGGGATGTGGGACAAAAGCTTGTAAGCGATCGTATATAATAGATAGTTTAGTATAACAAGGTTTATTACACTAGTAAAATATTATTTTATTATGTTTCTGTAATAGGTTTTGATTGATAGGAAAATGTACAGTTGAGTCATTTTTTTTAATTTCTCATATTTCCAGACATTTTATGATAACATATTTTATGAAAACCGATAATACAGTAAAATTTTCGATTACACATCAAACAATTTTTAATCGCAATGACACAGCTATACAATTCAAGGAATGTAAGTAGAATTCGAAATGAAAATAGCTCATATTTTAAGCATTACATATATATATAGCTTATATATATATGTAGTTATCAATTTCCACGTACGACAGGTAGTACGCGGACAGAGCTGCGGGCACAAACTAGTCTTATGATAAACTGATTGATTCCCCATACAAACTTTCATCCCTATTTTTACCCCCTTAAGGGATGATTTCCGGGATAAAAAGTATCCTATGTCCTTCCCAGGGTCTTAAACTATCTTTTTACCAAATTTTATTTAAATCGGTTCAGTAGATCCAGAGATTACTCCCCACAACCTCACAAACTCACAAACTACCTCTAAAATATTAGTAGGTGTAGAAGTATACGTTAGATGATTATAAAATATTAAAATTATTCCATTCCGTACGTTTAGAACATAATATTTATTACGTTTTAAACGAGCAAAACTAAATTAATAGATGCATTTAATGCTAATTTAATAAGATCTACCGACGATAAACATTCCACGTACATATCTATTTTAATCGTCCATTGTTAAAATATATTTATGGGTAGACTAATGCAAACGTTATCGGTCGAGATAGAGCCATCAGATCGACCTTGTAATACCGATAGCTTATATACGTATTTACTAGCATTGCCCGCGGATCCGCCCGCGTTCAGATGACCATAAACCAAATTCTTAATTTTTACATATTACTATACTCTTAAATTGTAGTTTTTGTATTTTTTCTCAGAAATGAGATATTTTCCCGCGGTAAAAAGTATCCTATATGTTGACGAGGATAACCAGCTATCATCATACCAAATTTCATAAAAATCTGTCCAGTGGTTTTCTCGTGATGCGGTAACAGACATACAGACAGACAAAAATTCTAAAAACTATAGAATCGGACTCTGTATCGATAATAATGTCTATTTCAATTAGATTTTCCAAAAAATATTTAATGTACAGATTCGACTTAGTTACAATTTTATTATATGTACCTATTGATTAATTCGCAAATCGTTTGAACACTCCTAAAAAAAGTATTTTTTTTTATATCAAATTTTAGATATGTGCTGATTAAAATCAGCATAATCTATACATATAATAAAATGTTAACTAAACCGAATCTGTACATTAGATGTTTTTTGGGAAATCTTATTGAAATAGTCATTATTATCGATACAGAGGCCGAATCTATAGTTTTTAGAATTTTTGTCTGTCTGTCTGTTTGTTACCGCATCACAGAAAAACCACTGAAGGCATTTTGATAAAATTTGGTATGGGGATAGCTGGTTACCCGGGTCAACATGTAGAATACTTTTTACCGCGGAAAAATATCTCATTTCTAAGAAAAAATAAAAAAACTGCAAAGTTTTATACTTTGCAGTTTTTGTATTTTATACTAATGTGTAAAACCTAAGAATTTGGTGTTTGGTCAACTGAACGTGGGCGGAGACCCAGGCAATGCTAGTTGAATTATATGTTTAAATCAATTTATTGTTTCATGGCCAAATAAAAATTAAAAAATTAGGTTTAGTTTCACGAAGATATTTTGTGAAATACATTTTATATGTTTTTATTACTTACTTACTATGTATTGAGTAAACAGAAAACGTACTATAGTAGACAGTGGTAGCCCAGTCGTAACGCGCTCGCTTGGGAAGCCGAGTGAAACATGTTCAAATCCAGAGTCTCGCACCTCAGATATTTTCATGTGCGAATCATTTCCAACATGATTAATTACCACTTGTCTTAACGGTGAAGAAAAACATCGTGAAGAAACCTACGTGTCTGAGAGAACCTAGCAAGTTTTCATCCGCCAACCCGCACTTGTACTGAAGGAAAGCCCGTACCCAGCAGTGGGACGTTAAAAACAAAAACAAATCTGTCCCTCAGGAACCGTATATTTATCCGGGATAAAAAGTACACTATGTGTTATTCCAAACTATAATCTATCTCTGTGCCAAATTTCATCTAGATCCGTTCAGCCGTTCTGGCATGAAAGAGTAACAAACATCCATACTCACAACTTTCACATTTATAATATTTATATAGATTTATACAGATTATGCTAAAATTAAACATCAAATAAGGGTCAAGGTCGAATAGTTTCATTTATGCGTCACTGTCGATCGTAATTGCACCTTTGTAGTATCTGATAAGATAGCTTATCGCGTGTCATAAGTCTGACTCACGTAACGTTTAATAAGCAGGCGGTTCAAAGAAAACATTATCAAAAATATTCAAGAAAATATAACGTTATGGATTGAAAATATACAGATAATAGAAAAATGTGGGTCTTTATTACCACAGAATTTGCAATGGTTACGTATTGACGTAACATCTATGTAAAAGTTAACGATATCTATACATATAATAAAATTGTTACTAAGCCGAATCTGCACATTAAATATTTTCCAAAAAATAAATAAGAATCTATAGTTTTTAGAATTTTTGTCTGTCTGTCTGTTACCGCATCACAGAAAAACCACTGGAGGGATTTTGATGAAATTTGGTACGATGATAGCTGGTTCTCCGGGTCAACATATAATAAACTTTTTACTGCAGGAAAATGTCTCATTTCTGAGAAAAAATACAAAAACTGCAATGTAAGAGTATATTAGTATGTAACACCTAAGAATTTGGTTTTTGGTCATCTGAACGCGGGCGGAGCCGCGGGCAATGCTAGTTTAATATAGAAACTCGACTACTATAAAAAACAATTAACATGTTTTAAACGGATTCTAACATCGGATCTCGCACAATTATATTCTCATGTGCGAATTCTTCATTTATTCAATTACCACTTGTCTTAGGTGAAGGAACACATCCCCCCCAACGTGCGTTCACCTTGTCGTGGTGGGGGGGCTCAGTAGTGCCCGGCAATCCAACCGGGCGCGAAGCTAAGAAACGCGCAGAGAGGTTGCCCACTTCGGTGGGCGGTGGGAGGTGGCCCTCTTCGGGGGGCGGTGTACCTTGCGGGTTGCTCCTGGTACTTCTCTGATAGCAGAGTGGACCTTGGAGCAACCCCATGGTTGTGGTGGTCTGCTTTGGCAGACCTGCCGTCGGGGCGTCGTAGTTGAATGCGTAAGCGATCCTGCGACGCCCCATTAAGACGGGGGAAGGTTTTGTTAGGTTTTAGTGGGTAGTACTGGCTGTATTACGCCGGTGAGTCCCACACGTCGTGCGTAAATGCATTTCCCAACGTTAAAAAAAAAAAAAAGGTGAAGGAACACATCGCGAGGAAACCTGCATGTCTGTTAGAATTTCAACTTCTAATTTTAGTTTTTAGTTTTATATTACAAATGAGAAACTTATACAAAGATTTTATTCGTCAAATTTATATACTATATTTTATGGCAATTATTAAAACAGGTTTTAGATTAAAAATATAATAATATAGATGACCTCGAAATTCTTTGAACACGTACAAAAGTGAGCAAAAAATGAAGTACCTGTCATCTTAAATTTATCTATTAATAATAATAATGGCCTACTGACCGATTTCGGCCACGTCAGTCAACCTCACTGCAGCGCGTGTGTCGGTGTACGCGCAGATACAACGTGCACTCTCTGTTCCTGTCACTCTCATACTCTAGTGGGATGACTGGTGAGAGATCAAGCGCAAGGCTTTACATGCTTAGGAGGCATAGGGGTAAATGCCGCCAATTTCCAGCCTGTCACTGAGAATTTCTTGACAGAAAACTCATTAACTAAACTTGGGCCTACTCGGAACTCGAACCCAAGACCTCCAGATCTGCAACCGCACACGCCAGCCACTAGACAAACGAGACAAAACTTACCCATTATCAATGCCATTGACACCGATTTTCTCTCCCATATCCCCAACGATCAGGCCAGGGTACGTCTCCAGCGTATCTGGGTTTCTGATGGGCACCACGAAGCCATGGAGACCATGGTTTGTTCCATCTGGTGTGATTAGTTGCGCGAAGAGCAGTGTATGTGTGCATGTTCTACCTGAAAATAATATATACATGCAAATTATGTATGTAATACAGGCAAACATTTCGCTTTAGTACATGTTCACTTAATTTTAGCAACCTAACATGAAGCCATATTTTTTGTGCACTTTAAATGTCACAGTATCTTTCGATTTTCAGAAAAAGTAAGGATTCTTTGCACCTTTTTTAGATTTGTGTTTAATTTTAAACTTGTATTACGTACAACTGTTCTGTTTAACGAAATCTTTTTTACATAACTGTTTTAAACTCTAACAGAAATATCAATGATTATACTCGTACATTAAATAACTACATTTAATAGTATTCATGAAAAAAAAAAACTAGTCTGTAGTAACCCTTAAGAAAAAAATTACACGAGAAGTAACACTTCAAAACCACGTTCATAAAATACTTAGATATGTATTTCTATGTCAAACGACAGTGTTTATTATCAGACCACTACATTTTTTGTCACATTATCACAAGCGCGGGACGTTATCTATAGTTATTTTATACAACTTTTTATATAAAATTTATTATTAACTAACCTTACAACCAGGCTTCGCGTAGACGTAAAAAACACATATATTTAGATCAGAATTATAGAATGGCAATACCGTTATACTTGATTAAAAAAATCTTAATTTATTCGATGTGACTCGTCGATATGTCAGAAACTTTCACAGATGTTAGACTAATGATTAATAATAAATATATTGGGACATTAACACACAGCACCATCTAGTTCCATGGTAAGCTACGGGGCTTTTGTTATGGATACCAGATAGTTGATACACTACACATATGTATACATAGTCATAAACACTTACAATCACTTAGGTTAATATATAAAAGATAACTTCAAGTAGTGAATTGGGCTTGGAACTAAGTTGAATGATTTCTTATCGATTGCCATATAAATACATATGAATATAATAAAAATAACCGCTTTAGATCTATTTTTCAAGGTTAGGATTTTTTATACAATAAAACTCAGTGAATTATGATAAATAAAAAATAAAAAAATATATTATACACTTCTTATTTCTTGAATATTTTTTGTGATTATTTTCAATCCATACTAATATTATAAATTCAAAAGTAACTCTGCTTGTTTGTTTGTTTGTTACTTTTTACGACTAAACGGCTGAACCGATTTGTATTAAAATTGATACGGAAATAGTTTGAGACCCTAGAAAGGGCATAGGATAGTTTTTACTGGGGTGGAAGTTTGTATGGGGAATCAATAATTTGTCAAGTAAGGGATATAAAACTCATCATATATCCATACTAACCGTCAAAACATACCTAGCGACGAACCAAAGCGAAGCGAGGGTGAGCTAGTAATGAATAATTATTTAACTAAAAATGACGTAAATAATTTATGTAAAAACTTAATTAATTAATTTGTAAAAAAAACGTAATTTATGTCCTTCATTTCTTGTGTAAAATTATAAAATAAAACGTTATATGTACGGTACAGTGCTTAAAAACAGATCCTAGCAATAGGTCCCTTATTCGATTCTCGAGTCGAGCGAATGTATGAATGGGTCATTCAGATATGGAAGTCTGAATGTGCTTATTTCTTGCACACATTTCCGAATATCTGACAAAGTAGCTAACTCAGCCTAGCAAATGACCGATAATTGAATTGTCTTTATTTATTTTCTTAGTAGCGACTAACCATCGCTTGACTCCGGTGCGTCCCTGAATGCCTAGCATAGTTGCCTATGTTATACTTCACGTATGTCTGCGTACCAAATTTCATTCAGATCCTTTCAGTCCTTTTATATTTTCTAATAGGAGTATTAGGTATCTATACGTATAATAAAATTGTAACTAAGTCGAATCTGTACATTAAATATTTTTTGGAAACTCTAATTGAAATAGACGTTATTATCGCTACAGAGTCCGAATCTATAGTTTTTAGATTTTTTGTCCGTCTGTTACCGCATCACGAGAAAACCACTGGACAGATTTTCATGAAATTTGGTTTGATGATAGCTGGTTATCCGGGTCAACATATAGGATACTTTTTACCGCGGGAAAATATCTCATTTCTGAGATAAAACACAAAAAAGAATAACATTTAATAATACTAAGTATTCCCTAAGAGGGTTGATGTCAGGCAGGCGGCCGGCCGTAAAACTTTTGCCAAAACCGATCAGCAGTATGGTAGACGTACTGCGCCGACCCCAAGTAATTTGGGAAATAGGCAGGAAGAAGAAGAATAATAATAATACAATAAGAATTTGGTTTTTGGTCATCTGAACGCGGGCGAAGCCGCGGGCAATGCTAGTAATATATATAACTAGGTTGCTTCCCCATACAAACTTTCATCCCCATTTTCACCCCCAGATAATTTTGATTTCCGGGATAAAAAAACTATCTTGTGTCCTTCCCAAGATCTCAAACTATCTTCTTACCATATTTCATCTAAATCGATCGAAAAGTTTCGTAGGTTATTCGGTACAAACAAACATAAAAATCTTTCCTAATTATATATATATATATATATATATATATATATATATATATATATATATATATATGTAGATTATTACTCGGTAACTGCTATTGAAACGAAACGTTTTAAGAGTATAGAAGAACAGACGTATAGAAATCGAGGAAGCTATTTAGTATGCGTAACCGAATAAAGTGACCTTAACATTGATTCCAATCGAGATGATTGCGTAGTCAGAAATGTTTTGTATTACACAATCTTATTTAATATTTAATTATTAAGAACTTATTGCTATATTTTTTTATCACGAGATCTTTTTTTCGTTACCTAATGATGGGGTTATACAGTATACAAATATGTATGGCGGAGAGAATTTTTTTTTTTAGTCAAAATACAACAATAATATGTAGAAATTTTTACTATATTGTTAAAATCGACATCTATATTTTTTTAGTAAACAGTAAAAGATATTTAAAATAATTGAATATAATCAAATAGTATCAAACACATTTATCATAGAAACCATGCTTGCTAGCAATACTTAAAAAAATAATATGAGCAATATAATAATGCTTACATTTCTCATATTAGTTTTTTTAAGTATTTTAATTTAAAACTGCCGACAATGAAAACTACTTAAAACTATAAAGGTTATTTTTGGATATTCAAATTGATTGTTTGATCTTAAATATAAATTTGTAAATTAAAAATGGTAACATTTATCTGGTTTTCACATCTATAGGCACTCTCGAGTGTTAGCGTTAACACGTCACGTGACCATGTCGATGACGACTTACATGAATTTGCTCCCCATCCAAACCTGCCTATAGAAGTTTTCACTTTAACAATAAAGCTCGCCACACACATGCACATGCAAAAACCTTTATTGCTATCGTTGCCATGTCAATGTCATGCCAAATAAAAAAAAGAATAATTTAATTAAATATGCTAATGTTCTAATGTGTCCAATTAGCACTACCTACTCAGACAAAAAACATAGATTCAAACTTTTTATTGCGTATGTAGATTTTAGAGTCAAGAGATCAGAATTCTAAATCACGTCATATATTAAGAAAACGAATTGACCAGTCGTTGCATTTTTTTCGTCTAGCCCGCATAATTAAAATGAATATAAGTCATCGATACACAGCTAAAATAAAACCTTACTAGAATATCAGTACCTAATAGTCTGGATCATCAAAAAAGATTTAAAATATATATTTTTTTTTAACCGACTTGGAAACTAAAAAATAACTGGACTAGCGTTTTCATTTACTATAGAAACCTACTTCATCAGAGGTTTTCCAAGTCAGCGCCAGCAGCCGAGCAAAGCAAATCTATAGAAGTTTGTATTGGGCATCAATAATTTCTCAAGTAAGGGATATATTTTTTTATTTTGTAAACTATTTACCTACTTTTCTATACCTATGTATATATTGGTTTATCTATCTATTCCTTACTAACCGTTAAAACGTATTTATTATCTGGGAACGAACCTGAGCGAAGCGAGAGTAGGTAGTCAATAAATAAAAAATATGTATATTCCGACGAATTGAGAACCTCCTCCTTTTTAGAAGTCGGTTAATAATAATACAAATAAAATTCACACAAAGTTTTACCTAGATTACCAACCCAGCATTTGGCGGCCTCGAAGTCTGGCGTGTGAATGACGAACTCCTTGCGCGACGGGTCGTAAGTGGCGGTCGTGCGCATGAGTCGCGCGTCTGAACCGTGCGCGATCTCCGTAAGGGCAAAACTCGCTAAAATCTGTGAATATCAAATAATTTGTATGTAAGCTTTCGTAATAATTTGATAAACTTAAAAATGAAGTCAATATATGAAGTAGGTATATGAATTATTTAGATTTTAGAGAAGTTATAGGTAGGCATCACTAGTACAGTCCAACTCCAAATTGTTCTATATAGTCCGTACCGTATAAAACCGAATAGTTTTCGAAATATTTAAAAATACACTTAGAAAAACTACTAATTTACCAACTGTTAACCCCGCTCTTCCCCAAACCCGACGCTTAAAATGGTGTAACTTTTTACCAAACAATATGTGGACTGAATAGAACAATTTGGAGCTGAAGGGAAACTTTTACTTTGGATGTTGAGGTTTGGGTCTAATTACACCGTACTATAGATAATATGACAAGAGTAATATGAGTAATAGAAAAACGGGTAGAGTAAAATTTAGTAAAAAAGCTGAACATAGACCATTCATCGTTATATAGAACATAAGTACGATCACATTCCTTGTGGTGGTTGAAATATAGGACGTTTTTCTTGCGTTTTTTTTTAAATTCAATGATAGCCGTCCTCGAAAAAATGTTTTAAAATAAAAGAATCCCTTGTGGCCCGCTGGGGCCCCCTTGAATGAGGGACCCCATGCGAATGCATTGGTTGCATTGGTATAGTTACGCCACTGCATATCATGTCTTAATATTTGTATATTCGCAGAACCTCAAATTGGTACGTACCCATTTAATTACTTCGTCTATTATTATTTAAAGTGGCATTAAAGTTTATTGAACTTAAAATTAAAATATAAAGTGCGTGTCAGTCCAATTAAATTTACCGAGAGGTCGACTGTGAAGGTCTCTTCTAGACGTGACATCACGAATGTTAAGTTTGAAAGCTGACCCTTAATTACGAGGTGCTAATTTCGTTACACATGAGCAGCAAACAAATGACTTAATTGTTTAGATCGCTTTAGCAATCCTCTAAAAGACGCGAATTCAAATTCAAACCTTATTAAAAATATTTTTTTGACCATAAACAATTTTTAATTAAAAAGACAAAGAATTAAATCGTAATCGAAAATATTGTACAAAGCAATCCACGCTTATTTCAGAATGACATTAAGTTTCTTGTTAATCACTTTATTCTTAAACTAAAAATTATCTTTTACTTTTTAGTTCGGTTCATCATTAAGGCGTGTTTTTTTTAGTTTTTTGAATTATATTTGTTTTTTAATTTTTATTGTATTGTCATCGGTTCTTATTAACTATGCAAAGTTTCAGTTCAATCTGAAATTTTGAAGTGGCTGAAAATCGCGTTCAAAGATTCCGTTACAAACATACAGGTGGAACTAATAAAAGCGTGTTAAAAATACGAAATTTTATGCACAAGTTACACCTTCTAGAGCTACATTCTACTATCTACATACTTCATAATTTTGATCATTAAGAGAAATCTACGGAAATAGATACTTCTTCTGATTTTTTAATTTACGACAATCCAATTTCAAAAGAATCTAACACTGTTTGCTACTTGCCTTATGTACATTTACTTAGGTCATAATCAGTGCAAAACAATAAGGCAAATGTTATTTGCGAGAAAATACTCAAGTGAGCTTTTCTCAAATTTAGTTGATTGTTGAAATTCCTTCCTTTATTTTAATTATCCAGAAAAAAGGACTGTAAGTCAAATTAGCTCTTTTCAAAAGTTAAATTTAATGGGAAATATTTTGATTCCCAGGAACTTACCTAAGTGCCTTCTAATATTATATATATGAAAGTTTAGACGGATGCTTGGATGTTTGTTACCCAATCACGCCAGAACCGCTGAACGGATCTGGATGAAATTTGACATAGAGATAGATTATAGTCTGATTTTTTTTATCCCGGAAAAATGTACTGTTCCCGTGGGATAGATTTGTTTGTTTTGTTAGAGGTGAACCCGAGCAAAACGAGGGTGAGCCGCTAGTATTATATACAGGTAACGTAATCTCAATTTTTTTTACTAACGTATTTACGTCAATGAAATTAGTCCAAGTCAAAGCCTACCTGTGCACTAAATTTTATCCAAATCCGTCCAGATGTTTCAGAGTGAAAAAGTAACAAACAAACATACACACACATAAAAACTTTTGCATTATATGTATAAAAGTAATGTGAGGTATGGATAACATGACAGCACTGTTACTGACTTTGCCTAATACTCAGGTCTTGCTTGCTGTAACGAATTGCATCTAACGATCTAAATAAAGAGATATATACAAAACAGCTGCAATATAAAAACTATTGGTCTCCAGTCACCAATCCAGTAGGTAAAATATAGCTAGTAAAGTTAATTTGTTATTAATGTTATTTCCCTTTAAAGCAACTTCCCTAAGGATAATTGCGGTTTTCCCACATCAATTCCATCTTCAAAAACACAATGTATCATACTGTTATTGACACTTGCATCACAGTTTATTATGACTTGAGTATGGTCTCGAGTGTGGGTATCCCGAGGCTTTATATGGTTTTTCTTTCCTTATGCATAAAAAGCTATTTATACTTAGGTATTTACCTTGTTATATATAAACATCCTTATAGTTTTATGGAAATGCCTAAGGTATAATCGAGTCATCATAATGGACTCATCTATCAATACATATAATAAAATTGTAACTAAGCCGAATCTGTACATTAAATATTTTTTGAAATAAACATTACTATCGATACAGAGGCCGAATCAATAGTTTTTAGAATTTTTGTCTGTCTGTCTATATGTCTGTTACAGCATCATAGAAAACCCACTGGAGGGATTTTGATGTAATTTGGTATGGTGATAGCTAGTTATCCGGGTCAACATATAGGATTTTTTTACCACGGGAAAATATATAATTTCTGAGAAAAAATACAAAAACTGTAATGTAAGAGTATACTAATATGTAAAACCTAAGAATTTGGTTTTTGGTCACCTAAACGCGGGCGGAGACCGGGCAATGCTAGTTACGAGAATATAGGTACATGTAAATTAAATATTCTAATATCATAGATATAATATCGATTTTGATTTTACATTGTATTTATGTGGCATACTTGTATGTTGCGGTCAAAACATATAAATTAAAGTGAGCATGCCCCATAATTACCCCACATAGAAGACGAAGAGGTAGAGGAAAATTTTCGCGTCTAAAACAAATGATTTTTTTATTACGATTAAGAAAATATGAGTTTATTGGTTATGTATCTATACGGCGTACGTTAAAATGACAGTTTTATGCTCTATAGTTGAATGCTCTCCGGAACCATCATCAAAAAGTCCATATTTAAGTATATGATCGTCTTCACCCTTAACGTAAATCTCGCCATATATAAGGGATGTCAAAATTACCAATTTGCACGGTGAACGATTTCTAAATCTCAAAACGTTGTAGTACCATCTCGTCGCAAATTATAGTTATGCCTGGTAATAATAAAAGCTGTCCCGAGTGTCATACAAAAGTACGTATGAAAATCGGGAGTGTCTCACCCTTCGTTACACAACTGAACGTTTTTGCATAAAATACCCAAGATGAATGCGCACAATGATTAAGACATAAACACCTCCAGGTAAATTTCTAAGAAATTAATTAAATTTCTAAGAAATCTATTGTTAACTGTAACGCCAGAGTGTCCGCGGTCGTGGAGGGATTAATAATTTAAACACCTATCAAAAAGATTAGACAATGGACTTAACATGTTTATATACTCCTGAATTACTAAAGAGGATTTATTAAAACAATGATAATGATATTTGACGACTTTTGGTCATTATTTTAAAGACCTCGAGGGTAACATTTAAACTTAAAGAAATACTTCCAACCTTAACGAAGAAATAACGAATTTTTATAGTTATAAAAAAAGTGTGTAGGAACGTTGTACTTTATTATGCCAGCGCTCTAAAGCGTGTAATTACGTCACAATTCAAAAACACAGTTAAATTAACATTATTTTAAAAGCTTCAAAAATCAAAACAAACATGATAACTTACTTATTGTTATTGTTAATTTTGAGAAGTAATTGTTTAAATAGTTACATAAAAAAAATAACGGCGTTGCCTCTAGTGTGGACAGGTAGAAATCTGGGTGACACTGTCTAGTGTTCCAGAATTCACGGATTCGATTCCCAAGTGAAGTAAATGATCCTTTGCGTAAGGCACATACATACATATATATGTATATGAATATCAATAAATTTTCCAATAATTAAAAAAACCGTACAAGTTTGAGTAGAACAAACGATCAAATGGTTCCATTCAAACTTAATTACAAAAAACCTTTTTCCTTTTCGTGATGTAATTAAAAATGAACAATTTACAGATTTTTCCATAACTTGTGTTAAACCAAAAGAAGGAATCTTACCAAAGTACCTGTACCCGTCCTTTTGAAAGAGGGGTTATTATGACAGTACAACATAAGGGTTTCATTTTTAGCGATGTAGGTATAGAACACTAAACCTACATATTTTGTAAAAAAAAAATATTTTTTGTTTTAACGTTGCACTGCTGGGCACGGGCCTCCCTTCAATACGAGGGGGATCAGGCCATAGTCCACCACGCTGGTAAAGCGCGGGTTGGCGGACTTCACATGTCTTTCGATATCTTTGTTAGGTTCTCTCAGACATGCAGGTCTCCTCACGATGTTTTCCTTTTTCCTTGTAATTATGTTGGTAATGATTCGCATATGAAAATATTAGAAATGCGAGACCCGGGTTCGAACCCGCTTCACTTCGAATAATAATAGTTCTAATACAAACGTCATCACAAATACATACCTCTCTATGTTTGATCGTCGCTTCGTAAAACTTGAGATGTCTTTCAGTGCCTAACGACAGCAACGCGTTTGAAAATAAATATATACCGATGGCCATTTTCACCGATACACTTGGGTTAAGAGACTGTACCGCCTCGTTTATTGTCATAATTGTTCGAGTCTGAAAACAAAATGTCCGGTTAAAGTTTTACCTACACATAAAATATACTAAAATGCTTTTAAGTTCCATTTGTTTGTAATATAAAGAAATAGTATACAGCACAACTTTTCTATACATACATATAATAAAAGTGTAACTGCTCGCTGTCTGTACATGGAAGATATTTGAGAAAAAAATATTATTAGGGGTCTTTATTAATTCAATAGAATTCAAAATGATTTTTAGAATTTTTGTTTGTTTATCTGTGCGTTTGTGCGCGATAATCTCAGAAACGGCTTAACAGATTTGGGTGGTTTCACTAATCTATGTGGTAAGCTTCACTTAATATTTAGTACATAAAAAGTTATGTCAATTTAAAGAATCACATAGGAACGAACCCGAGCAAAGCGAAGGTGAGTCCCTCTCCCTAGTCATTAATATGTGTAATCTTATATATAAAATTTCCATATCACAATATTTGTTACCGTACTCCGCTTTACCGATTTTTACCAAATTTTATATGCGTATTCAGTAGGTCTGAGAATCGGCTACTATCTATTTTCCATACCCTTAAGCGATAAGGATAAGGGTGGTCCTCCCAGACCCCACCCCAGGGACGAACCCGAGCGGAGCGAGAGTGAGTCGCTAGTAATTAATAAAAGTGTGTAGACAATTACATAGATAGCTTATTTCCGCTAAACCGTTCCCAATTATTTTTATAAGTGTTCGCCATATAATATAAAAAAGTAACTGTTTATAATAATTTTTATTGATAACACTAAAGCTCGTGAATGGCTACTATCTACCAGTGAAAATCTCGTCAAAATTGGTCCAGCCGTTTCGGAGATTAGCCGGAACAAACAAGACAAAAAAAATTTAAAATTGTGGTTTTTCTTATAAGTACCGTATATAATTCCATATGCATTTAGTAAAAACAACACAACAACATTACAAACACACATTTCAATTTTATTTATTTGTATATATGAATTGTTAAAGAAATCTAAACACGCACAAATCTGTTTAAACATTGGGGTATTGCCATCGTTTACTACGTAAAATTTGTAGAGCTTTTTTCGTTCTTCCTAAAGAAAGTTCATAATTCCACGTAAATATCATACAGAGATTTTTTTGGAAGTAGCATAATGTGTACTAAACTGACTATTTTGACTGTCGATAAAATTAAGGATAAATAAAATATAATTTGTAATAATTTTGTAATTAACGTCATACATATAAATTTATGTTTTGTTATTTATAAGTTTTAGTATTTTCAAATTTCGCAAAAATTGCATATTTATTACTTTTTTATATAAGATTATAATATATGAACATTAATATCATCAGCACCTTATATGTTATGCTATACTTGAATATAACCATTATGGGCGGTAATTTGAGGACATGTTTGGCTCAGTTTGTAGTGACCCTTACTTGCTGTGCCAGCGGTCACGGGTTCGAGTCCCGCTAGGGGCATTTATTTGTGTGATGAGCATGAATGTTTGTACTCCTATCATGGGTGTTTATATTTATAATATATATGTATTTAAAGTTATATATGTATAGTGTATCAACTATCTGGTATCCATAACACAAGCCTCGTAGCTTACCATGGAACTAGAGATGGTGCTGTGTGTTAATGTCCCAACATATTATGATTATTATTATGTACAGTGTACACAAGTGATACGATCAGTGACTCCCCCACTTGTCGACTTACAGCAACTATATTTCATTTTTGAATTTCAGAGAGAAACAAATAAAAATTGTAAACAAGTTAACGTTAAGTGAGGTTTCAACTCGGGTTTATCGGATCAACGAATCTCTTGCTGTCACCGCAATATCATTGCAGCTTTAATGAACGTAACATTTGTTCTGATCACATGGTAACATGTAGGTATTTGAAAATAGCATAAGCCGAGAAATTTATTACTTTGATACCATATTAAGATGTTTACACTTATTTGATATTAAACATCACTACATTTCACAATTAAAACATAACATATAGCTACGTCTTGTCATCAAAACAATCTACAAGCAATTATAAACAAAAAAAAAATATTATATTTTAATAATAAGTTATACACGACAGCTACGAGTGACAGTTTATTCTTTTTTTGTGTTAACGAGAGCACTGTATATCTTTCTTGATAAAAAAATGCTTGGTTATTTTGCAAGAACTTCATTATTCTTTATATATTCAATTGCGGGTCACCCTCGCTTTGCTCGTATTCGTCTCTAGGAAAACAAAAACAAATCTATCCCATGGGAACTGTACATTTTTCCGGTATAAGTAACCTATGTGTTACTCTGATGTATGAGCTATATTATTGTAAAGTTTCATTAAAATCACAACAACAACAAACATCCATACACCCAGACATCCATACATCCTCACAAACTTTCGCATTTATAATATTAGTACTTAGTATAAGATTAATTTATATTTTTAGTTGAAAAAACTTAATATAACGTATGCTAATAATAGTTAAGTGTCGAGACGTAAAGTGTATAGATAAAAGAAGACTTTAACTCACCCGTTTACTATAACTGGCGTTGAACATTTCCTTTGGTATGAACTTGTATTCATTTATCTTTTTTAATTGTAACTGTGTAATGCGTTTCTGTTCTTCCACTGGAGGAGTCACAGTGGGATGGGCGAAGAGTGGGTCCTTTTCTAGTGTGCGCCATATCTTGTACTGTTAAGAAATAATAATATGTACTTATAAAAAATACATTATATATGCTCTATGACCAAAAAATTTACAGTTTTTATAAAAACTAGCGAAAAAACGTTGAAGAGGCTATGGATCACTTTTAATTACACATATACATTAGTTTAACTACCTCGTTGGGTTTAGTACTTACTATGTACTGCCGCAAAACCTCAGGTTAAATTCGACTCCCATATGGAAGTTGGTATTTTTACACTGATATTCTTTATTCTAGGTTATAAGATATATTTTGGCTATACATATATAGACTTGAGTTTAAAACCACATTAGCCAGTAACAGTCCAAACATCAATATAAGTATATAATATGGGTTTGTTACTATTATTAAAATTAATAAGTATTTAATTTCCATAGGTCAGACAGGATATTTATTGGTAAAACGGTTTAAAAGACAAAATTAACAAAATTTACATAACATTCAACACAGTTACATCAGATCATTTTAGGGGAGCTGAAATTGTATAGGAATATAACCTGTATAATATATTGCTTACATCGATATATCAGAAAAAACACGAAATACGACAATTTGTACCGTTTTGCCACTAGACTAGGGTACACAAGCAAAAACCGCTATCCTTAAAAACAACTTGTCAGGCAAAAGCAAATCTACCCAAACCAAAAACGACAATTAATTGACAAACTAATATCACTGCATTAACAGAAGTGAAATCAAAATGATGTCACCGACAATTACATGTTGCTTCATGAACAAACTACTGCAATACACCATGTTTAAAGAGCAAGTAGCAGAAGAACTAAAAATCTATGAGATTTGATCAATTAAATGATTCTCTTGGCTTCTGACACACCCTAGATGGGAGAGAATGAGATACAAACATTCTTAACTTGCACAAGATCACAGTAGATAGTCCAATTATAAATAATATGCATAGAGATGATAAGTTAAAAATTTAAAGAACCCCTGGCCTAAGAACACTCCCAACTAATTCATCTATCAAACAAAAAAAACAAAATCAAAATTGGTTCATCTTATTGGAAGCTACGATGCCACAGACAGACACACACACACAGACTACTTACTTCAAAATTAATTAAATAAAATATACAGTAAAAACAATTCCATTTCTTTTTTAATTTATTTGACTGTGTACTAAGCACTTACTTCTTTTTATCAGATAATAATCTAACTTATTATGATTAACTGCTTCTAGCTTTTATAAAAAATATATTTATTAAACATTTAAGTGTTAATAAACTTTATTTACGTCACAGGTATTTTGGTATATATGTATGTATATGTTTTTAAGCTATATGAGCCTCAAGATTATTTATGTAATATCATCTAGTATTTTTTGTAGTAAAATAAAAAATAGATATTTATATATTAAATTTGATAAGTATTTAAATAACAAATAAACAAATTAAATGATACATATTAATTTTAACAACTAAATAATATATTGATATAATTGATAGAATTGCTTTTCAATATACTGTTTTAAAAAATATCTCATATTAAATATTGCATTTAATATAGCAATAATGCTAATAGAATTAATATTATGTTCATAAATGTGACATTCCTAAATTTAAAGTTAATGTATTAACTTTTACTAATTTCAATATTTCAGTATTCAAAGTCCTTACCTTAAGTTTCAATAAATCGATGTCTCCTTCAAGGGCCAATTTAAGTCGCTTCCAGTTAAATGAGGCGTTATTCCTATATACGTCCAGGGGCCCGGTCGGGAGATCCGGTAAGAAACTAAGGTCTTCCATGATCCTAATTTTGAAATATAGTAAAACTCTTTAATTGAGGTTATTCAAGTAAATCAATTAATAAAATTATTGAGTTTGCCAGACCTTAACTTTTTTATAGGTTTCCGTATTTTAAATTATGGGCATTGTAAAATATGACTGAACTAAATAAATCCTTACCTTGAGCTTGAATGAGCGATCGTTATTGAACTGTGAAATCAAGAAGACCTTGTATGTTTCAGCCGGCCACAACACGACTGGGATTTTGCTAATAAAACTAGAGTTTTAATAGCGATTTATATATTTCCTGCTAAATTAAAGCCGACACACACACACACACTACGTTATGGCGAGCAAGCAGCGGGCGAATGTCATAATGTCAAATTTCAAAGTGTTGTCACTTGGCAATTGTCAAAAGAAAAGCCGACTTTTGACATATGTCAACTATCTAAAATCCGTCGAGAATTGATAGGATATAATATTTTATTAGTAATATTATTAAAAAAGAAAAATTGAATAATGGTTAAAAACTCTAGTAACGTGTATTTTTGATGTAGGTACATTAGCGCAGAACATGGGCATATAGCATACAGAATATGTAGCAAAGTTTAAATTCTTCTATTACAAATAAACTTTCACTTCACTCAATCATTAATAAAAAACAATTTTAAGTGATAGAAGACACTGCACTCTCCATGAATTTCTTTAAAATTATGGATGAATGTTGTGAATTAATTTAAGCACGTACTAACGATATAATTCATTTTTAACTAATTTAAACTTATCAATGAAATTGTGTCTGTCTATGGTTTTATAATGAATTTTAAATGGTTGTCGAAGAATTTTTGCCCCGGTTAATATTTATAATGCCCGAACATTACCTTCTGTTAATATATTAATAACACATATTATAATATAGATAAATATTCATGGATAACGATAAAACAAGACAAATAGACAAAACGAATTTAATGTCTTATTCAACGCGTAAAGTTTTGAGTTTTTACTCGTATAGGATAAGTATATCATTGTCATCATGATGAAATCAAACTCAAATGGGGAAACTTCATCATCAATTATTCTTACCAAATGGGAAAATTTATAATCCACATTTAATAATTATATTCAAGTTTTCCTTTTCAGCGTTTATTTGGTTTTATATTTAGCGACACCTACCGTGAAAACTATAGACTATTTAAAAACATAAGTCGGCTAACTTGCTATTTTGAAAATGTGCCAACAGACGGCAGCACGAACACTAAAAATATTAATGAATAGTGCGAAAGAGAGGGTAATATAAATATTGCGCCGATAATGAGTGAGAGAGCAAATATACCACACTCACGCCGTACCACTACATAGACGTTTGTGTAATACACGTAAAAAGAAAAGAGAAGTTGTAAAACAACAACTGTACGTTGGCTGAGCGGCTGAGCCTGGTTTTCTATCAGATGTAAAATGGACGAGCGGTCGTGTTGCGCGTTCGCTTGCCCCGCGTGTTTATAAAATCGATGTTTATTTTACGTGAATACGATATATTGTTTACGCGATTGTTCGACTTCTTCGGCCATCGAACACCGAAGGAGATTGTGTTGTGTTTGTGTTGACGTTACAACTAGCATTCACTTGCAGTGATTTCGTTGATAGCTCACTCGCCGGTGGGTGCGCGTGATAAACTACGTATATTAAAAATAAGGCGAATATTCGTCTAGTGTGGGTGATTTGCAGTACCACGATGCTGTGCACGGTGACATAGTGAACGCTGACTGGCCCTGACCTCTGACAATCATGTCTGGTCGTTCAGATTGCAGGAAATTTGCACCAAATATCTTTAATAAGAGCAAGTGCACTAATTGCTTCCGTCAAAAGGAGGAGCACAGTGCTGAAGCTTTGGAATCTAATCGGGTAAGTTTTGGTAAATGCTCGTTCAATCAGTGATTCGCGTGTAGGTGTTTACATATGCGTGTGTGCGTCGGCCATACTTCTACTTCAGGTGTTGATCTAACGGACACCGATCAAGTTAAAAAAGAAACAGAACAATGTAGCGTTTCGAAGAAACAACCTAGTTAGTAGTTTCAACATACCGATTTACTACAAACCATGTCTTAATGCCTATGAGTTATGACAGAGAAATTCCTAACATGACTAAAATGTTAAATAGTACCTACCCTCATATTTCTTACACTTGCGTTATCTCAACCGGGAAGTTTGTTAATTTTTTAATAATTATACAACACTGATATCATAATCTGATAATAATGACGTAAATAGTGAAATTTTTTCATATTGTTATCGTGTTTGGAGAAAAATTACACCAATTATATTATGTACGATTGTTTAAATGTCAGATGAATTATTTTGTAATTAATATTCCATTTAATTTTACAAATACCTTCGAAAACATATCTAATATATTCAAGTTATGGCTTTATTATGGGTCAAGTTAGCAATTTAAATATTTTTATGTTGTCATAATTTTTATTTAATCGATTGTACATTTAGAAGGTCATATAATATTAAAGTAATAGTTTCTACAATCCAGACTCATTTAGACATGTTCTAGGTTTATCTAGGACATTCGGATGTATATTTCTAAACACGCTCGAAATAGCCGTTTTGTGTAAACTAAAATAGTAAATCAGATTATAGGACGTAAAATTTCAAAACGTAGGAAGAAGGAAGGCGAATTATTAATTAATTATTTACTCTAACCGACTTCGTTACTAAAAACAGATTAACGCACTAATTACTAAACTATGTAGGTATATTAGAATAAAAAAATCAAATAGCCGCATTCTTGCCATACCATCATAAATCAATAAATTATATCCTTAACTTGTTCATGATTTTTATTCACTACTAGCGGCTCACCCTCGCTTCGCTCGGGTTCGTCGCTAGGTACGTTTTAAATAGATATAAAAAGAAAAAATCTTTCTTTCTCACATTTTAATTATATGTTTTAATACTTACCTATTCCGGACTAAGAGAAATCCAAAAATTAAAATATCATAAAAATTGGAACGCGGTCGAACGGGATAAAAAGTATCCTATGTCCTTCTCCTGGCTCTAAACTACCTCCCTGCCAATTTTCAGCTAAATCGGTTCAGCCGTTCTTGAGTTATAAGCGAAGTAACTAACACGACTTTCTTTTATATATATAGATTACACGGTAAGTAATTGATTTATATTCGCAGTCTAAAAAGCAAATTATCTGAGCGAAATATAAAAAAATCGGTTCATAAGTTTACATAGTTCATATGTAACTTTCACAAAATATCAAATACTAGCGGCTCACCCTCGCTTCGCTCGTGTTCGTCCCTAGGTTGATTCTCCATACAAACTTTTATCCCTATTTTCACCACCTTAGGAAATGATTTCCGGAATAAAAAGTATCCTATGTCCTTCCCAGTGTCTCAAACTATCTTCATACCAAATTTAATCTAAATCGGTTCAATAGATCCAGAGATTACCTACAAAGTCACAAACTCGCAAACTTTACGTCTTTATAATATTGCATAGTACAGATAATATTAATTTAACAAAATAAATCGGTTATCGGTACACGTTATAGCAAAAATACTGACTTAAGATCTACGCTTTTCAACCAATACTTAATTACCATAATTTTTTTTTGAACAAATTACAGGAAACAAGTTTCTAATTAACGCGAAGAAATCATTCGAATTTGTAGATAGACGGTGTTTTTTGCAATGCTTTTTATCCCTATTTAAACTGACTCGCTTACAAATAAGTGTCGATGGAGTAACATATTATTTCGAAAACTGCTCCCGAGTAGAAATTACAGTGCAAAAATAGAAAACCCCACATCCTGTTCGGTCCACACGCAACGGGACGGCGGGAAGGTGCGATCTTGTAAAGCTAGCAAGAACCTCTACGTATTATCTGCGACTTTGCCTTGTTTTTTTTTTAATGTTTTTTTCATTCATATTTTATGTTATTTTGCTGTATAATGTAGGCCTTTAGCGCCCTTTGTTATCTCTTAATAATTATTTATTATCTTTTAAAATATTAAATACAAAATAAATTAACATTAGCTTTTACTATATTGTTTAATAAATAGAATTAGTTAAAATAAAGTTAAAATTATACATCGTGTATCCTACATATCATTCGCTAGTTTTCAAGTTATCAAGAGACTAACTTTTCATGATCAAACATTTACTTTTAGTGTTGCTGCAGTCATTTTTCAAGTATAATAATTATTAATATACGATTACACTCGATATCTGCAAGAAAAAATATTTTGATTAAGTATTAGAGCAATTTATTTTTTTAATTGACAAAAATGAGTTACATGAGGCTTTTTTTAATATATTATTGATTCAATACATAAAATTTGTTATTAAACGTGTCAAATTTATTAAAGAGAACTACTGAATTGCGAGAAAGATAAAAATCTATTCGTATAATGTGTATGACCGAATTTTAATTAAATGTGAGTATTCGCCACTAATTAGATGGTACATGAATGAGATCAGAACTTTTTCATAATATGTGAGAAAGGTGTTGTCAATTATTACTATTGTCGTCCACTCATGTGGATCACAAGTCCAAATAAAAAAATCGGTCAAGCGTGAGTCGTACTCGCTTACGAAGCATTCCGTACCATAATCGATTTTTTTTAATTTGCATGGCAACCTCTTTAAAATTCGCCATCTTGATTTTTTATTATTTGTTATTATAGCGGAAATAGAAATACATACCCTGTGAAAATTTCAACTCTCCACCTATTACAGTTTATGAGATACAGCCCTCTTACAGATGGATGGACGGACAGCGGAGGCTTAGTAATAGGGTTCCGTTGGCATCCTTTCGGTACGGAACCCTTAAAAGTAGTTATTACATATTATTTTACATATTATTATTACACATTGAAACGATCCACATACAATAATCACAGAATATTAATATTTTCTGATCTTAATCATTAAAGTGATAGAAAACTACTTATTTATGTAAATTTATATAGTAACGACTTATACCATGAAGCTAAGTAACAAGTAGCAGATTTCGAAAGTTTCTTTTAAGGTCAAGTAACTTTTAAAGATATAATACATTTTATATAAAAAATAGATAAATAATAGAATATGTAAATGGTTATATTATATGTGTAATATAAAAAGAAGTCGTCACAATATTCAAATGAACTAATAATTTCGGTACAAACACTCGTATTGTTTACACTCGTGTAACACTTGTTAAAACATCTTCAAACACATATGCACAGAATTTGGTCGTAACTCGTATATTTAACCTTTTTAATTAAACAAGTTCATCGTTTCCAGTTTTTATTTAATTTTGAGTGTCAAATCCGAAGGTGTTCACTATATGTATTTAGGTAATACATAATCTATACATATAATAAAATTGTAACTAAGCCGAATCTGTACATTAGATATTTTTTGGAAAATCTTATTCAAAATAGACATTATTATCGATACAGAGGCCGAATCTATACTGTTTAGAATTTTTATCTGTCTGTCTGTTTTCAGATGCAAAATTGTCTATTTCTGTTAAATAAATCTAACGAACTCCTTCGGGAATCAAACTTGCGATCTATATATTTCACGTTCATTCCCGTTATGTAAGTTAATTAAATTTCTTCGAAATTGCGGCAGATATATTTCTTTAATTATATCAAAGACTAATTAGTCTATCATCATTATGAATTACGATAAAAATATGAATATTGACTCTGTGATATTATAGGTTGTAAACTTATTATTATAGAAATATTTGTTTCTTTTGGTTATGTGGTTTTTCAAAGATGAAAGAATATTTAAATCGTTTTAATATTTTCCGAGTTCATCTATACAGATAAATAAAATTGAAGTGTCTGTTTGTAATGCCAACATAACAGCATTTTACTAAATGCGTATGAAAGTATATACGGTACTTATAAAAAAAACAATAATTGTTAAATATTATGCCTGTTTGTCTGTTTGTTACGGCTAATCTCCGAAACGATTGGACTGATTTTGACAGGACTAGCAGATAGCTGATGTTATAAGGAGTAACTTAGGCTACTTTTATTTTGAAAAAGAAATCAGGGTTCCGCGCAAAAAAACCATTAAATTGTGACTAAAATACG